TCTTTTTCACAAGTTGCTTTTAAAAATGCGCTCTCTGGAACAATCAGTACACGTGACTTATCATTAACGATTGTTCTAAAACATCATCATCTAGACATAATCATTGCTTTCATTTCGAGCATTTATTCTGTGTCATCTAGCTCTTCATCATAAGTGTAACATCAAAATTAAAAACAGTCAATAAGAAAAAGATTTAATTCTCTTAAAAATAATTTCATGCAGTCTGTCTTGTTTTAAAATAAGTCTTACCTGTCATGTTTTAACTAATAAGAAATTTTTTGCACGTAAAAGACTTGTGACAATATGCGATTTTTATTAGCTATAGAATATGGCTAGAATATGTAATAGACTTGTGATATAGATGACTAACCACAGGAATTTATGGTTCTATTTTTATTGGATAAATGTTATTTAATTATGTAACCACAAAATCGTTAAAATATGTATCCAAAGTAACTAAAACACACCAAGATTTCTATCAGGTACACGTATATTGAATCACAAAACTCGTACACAATTCATAACTTTCTGAGATATTTGCGTTAGAAATTTCTTTTTTTTTCTCTCCATGAGATAGCATTACAATTTATAAATCGATCCCATAACATGCGTTTACAATCAATTCTTTTATCGGGGCTACCAAAGCGCTGGACATTGATATGTTGCTACTTTTGTACAGTTTTGTTGTTGTCATTTCCTAAATTTGTGCCTCATTTTGAACTAAACGAAACACTCTACTTTTAGATAGAAAATTGTATTAATTCCCAACTCCTATTATCTAAAAAATAATGAAACAAAGAATTTTGTGCGCTTCTCTTATAACTCCAGATCTATTTTTGCTAGGATCCTGAAATTTGAAAAAAGAAAACTAGGTAGGGGAGAGTCGGGTAGCCCCGCCCACTGTCAATTTCATATGTATAGAATATTTTTTCAAGTCAATGGGCCATCGGACATTAATTGTTATTTTAAAAAAAGATTATTTTCAAAGTTTCAAGTATTTATGCAGCTGGTAACATGGTAAACAATAGTTTTGAAAATATGTTGAATACAGTAGTCATGAAATTAAGAAAAATTGGTTGAATGTTTCGATTAAACTTCATTTTAATACTAAAAAAATAATTTTTTCTATACATACAGCATTAAAGTATGTAGTCTTAAGTTTAATTTGCACAAAGAAAGAAGTTTGTATGTAAAAAATTGTTCGAGTAATTACAAATTTACAAAAAAATTGGATTTCGGGTAGCCCCGCTCACATGAATGTCGGGTATCACCGCCCAATTTTATTTCGTCGATAAATGTACGGTTGCAAAGATTATTATTTTATTGCTTCAAATTTGAATGTTATATGCATTTTTAACAACAAATATTGTTGTTATTAAATGATTGTTATTAAATGATAGAATTCACTAAAAGTATATAAATATGTAATAAATAAAATAATTTTGTGATAAAAATGATAAATGAGGTTTATCTATTGTCAATACATTGGTCATTCTCATTTACACCTGAAAAAATAGCCAAAAAACACAATTTTTGTAACTGGGCGGGGCTACCCGACACATTTTGAAAAGAGCTGAAAAACATGTTTTTTTAAATTTCTATTTTTTTAAGTTTAACTATTCTTTTTTTGGTTTATTCTTTTTGCATTATTTAATTAGATGATAAAACAATAGAAACATACAAAAATGTTGATTATTACTCAGTATTATATAGAAATATAAGCAATACTCCTTAAGTGAGAGGGGCTACCCGACTCTCCCCTAAATTTAAACTCGAATACTAAAAATCGTTCGAAACTTTCCGTTATTTTTTCGAAAGGAATGAATCTTTCTAATTAATTCAGTAAACATTGCATCATTTGACTGATTGAAGAGGTTTTAGCTTGCATAAAAAAGTTACTCACAGGACATCACCTTAATTATTTGCTAGTCTAATTTTTTAGCAATGTCATTAGTTTCAGAACAATACTTTTTAATGCAAATTAGATCACGTACGAACTTTTGCAATAGTTTGATAAAAAATAGTCCATTATTCGTAATTAATCATGAGTAAAACTTTGACTCAGTAATGAATCAATTTTCCTAATTTAATTTGAAAGTAATTTGCTACTTTTGCAAAAATATTTTTTTAGTCTAATTGTTTCAAAATAGAATTTTTTTTTTTTCTTTAAAGTAACGATTGAGGGTAAAACAAAATTCGATGTAATCCGGAAAAATAAATTCGTTCTATTTGCGTTAAACCGTTTACATTCGCTACTCGTTGCATAAATACAATAATATCAAACAGAGTTGTCGGAGAGTTTTCGTAATTAAATATAATTTTACTTATTTTTAAATTTTCTTTCAATCTGATAGTATATTATAAACACAGAAAAAATGCCTACTACTAATGCCTTATTCAGGGTGGTCACCTACCTGGAAAACTTGGAATTACCAGGGAATTTTTTATACTGGAAAAAACCTGGAAAAGTCCGGAAATTTGGATAAAAACCTGGAATTTGTAATTTTTTTTAATTCACTAATTTAAATTGTTTACTAATTTTCTTAATTTAAATTATTTTATCAACCGTTATTCCTACTTTTTTCGGACGAAAATTTATCGCATATGAAAAATAATTAAATGAAAAATTAAAACAATAGACAATAATTTTTATTCTGAAATTCGTAAGCATTTAAGTGTACAAGGATTTTATCGAGGTAAAATTTTTGTTACTTTTTGATTATTAATTTCTTAAAAATAAACTTTTCCTCTGCTTTCAAAATATTCCATGTTGTCTTGCTAAGAATGGATTGTACATCTTATTATTAAGCACCCATTCTGAAATATTCATTTTAATTAATGAATAGAGCTCTATTTCATTAAAAGTCATAAGTTTACGAGCACTTTTGAAAGCCACTGGAAATATAAATAATTATTGATGTATAATAATATAGAATAATTTTCTTTCACCTAATAAAAATATATTAAACAGTACTTACCATGATACCTTAATACCGAGATACTTTTGGTCACTCTGTATTGCCATTCGATACACTTTGTGCAAAAAACTACTTAAAGTAACACATTAAAATATTTTTTATTCAATAAAAACAACATATTATGTAAGTTAAATATATTATTTTCTCAACATGCGCCTGAATTTTTTAAAAATTAATTTGTACCAAAACATTAAAAAATAATAAACAAAATCTTGCTAAGTTGTTAAAATAAATTTAGTCTAATTATTTTTTCAACATGATGTATTTAAAAAATAACATTTCAATTGCAATACAACAAAATTAAATACAGTTTTCTTTTCTTGTACCCATTTTACACTTTATAAGAAGAAAACCCTTTATAAGGAAAAAATTTTAAGGTTTTTACCTTGAAAACCTGGAAAAATCAGGAAATTTGAAACCTGATTTGAGTGGCATCCCTATTATTAAATTATTAATAAAAAGCATAGGATGAAGTTTTATATTTTATGACCAAACTACATTTCATACATAAACACTAACGAAATTTTCAATTTATACTTTTCTGTTTTTGTCATATATATATTTTTAATGCGATTTTTAATGCTTAATTTGTTGCATATATAAAAAAATTCTTTACATTTATAGAAAAGGAAAATAATTAACTCTGCTCAAAACAGCCGCAAACATATTTTTTGTAGTATTAGTAGTAAGTCACACATGAGGCTTGAAAAATAAAGCTTTTAACTGTTCAAAATATTTCTGTATACCAAGTATTTTTTGAGGAAATTATGTGTCGAACTTCTGTAAATTAAAGACATGAAAATATCTCTTAATCTGCTCTTATATAACTCATAGTATTAATTGTTTTCATCAAATCATCGATTAAGCTCATAAAATATTCCATTTCGCAGTAATATTACATAAAATGTTATTTTACTTAATATTATTCCATTTTGATGCTTAATACCATAACATATTTTACCTATATTATTTTTATTGAATTCTCAAATGTATGATCAATAAACTAAATTTAAGTGCTCACATGTTATATTGCTATATTTGAATTATAATATGTATAAAAGAAGTCAGTAAAGGTCAACTTTGAATCAAAGCTAGTCTTTTTAATAAAAAATGGACGTCCTGCCCTCTTTTTCAGAAAAGGCCGTTTTTTTAAACCCTTATTTTCACTGATTTCATCTTCACACTAATTCTTTTCATCTTTTTACAGTTTTTGTCTCGAATAATTAAAACTTTCAAAGCATGGAAGGCATTATTTTTTACTCATAAATCATGAATTTATAAAAAAGAAAGAAAAAGAAAATAAATACGCAAAATCTAGAGTATAGGCAAATATAAATTTCTCAAACCTTAAATTAAACTGTAAAATATTTTTAAAAATGCCACAACCTCATAATATAAAACTACAAGTTGTAGTTATTAATTTCCAACAGTGATCTGAAAACTCTTGAAAATATTTTTGTGCTAAAATTTACTTCTATACTGAACCATAAAAATTTCAGAAATTTTTTTAAAAGACCCTTTCTCAAAATGCTTTACAGTTCTAAAGTTCTTAATTTCTTCAACATCTTTAAACCTTGGTCCTTTCTCAAATTTTTCAGTTTCATAAGCAAAAATTCTGCAAGAGATTTGTTCGAAAATTATGGCGAATAATCCATCATCACTACCCCGAAACCAATCGATTTGACGAATTAACACAGCTTAAGGTTATCGAAATCATTTAGAGAGCCAGAATGAAAAAGCATCTCTAAGGAGGACTTATTTTTCTAAATAGGTGTGTGATTCACATAAGATATTCATGAATTATGATATCACCCTGGATAAATACTAGTCACACCTTGTAGCATGCACAAAAATAAGTTAACGCGTTTAGATTTAAACTACTTCAGGAATAAGATATTTTGTTAAGGGTTCATATAATGAATTTTAAAATAAATTTTTCTTCTCATCTGACTTTGGTTAAAAATTTCTTCCTATCGAATATGGTTTTATCTGATGAATTTAATGAGTATATTTTTTTTTCAGCTTCACATAATTCATGTTTTCTCAAGTGACCCAGATTGGGTCAATATACCAAATACCGCCTGCTATAGATTCACTACAATGGTGCAAGGTGAGTAAAATTATTACATAATTTACACGGATATGTAATAACTACACTGTAAGAAATTCCGGATCAAATTACGGTTATCGGAACTCGGGGTGCCGATACTTTTTACCATAAAATCCATTTTTATCGGAACTTGCTACGGAGCAAAAAATCAGACATACCGTAATACTTACAGGAATAATTATCATAAAATCACTGAATCACTCTAATTAAATAAATATTACTATAAAATTTACGGTATAATATTTACCATAAAAATGTATTCTACAGCGAATTTTATTTTATCTATGATTCACCCAAAGTGCTGGTACTTTTAACGTAATTTGATCCGAAATTTTTTATTGTATAAATCTAAACAGACATTGGAATTGTAATAATATTATTATTGCATGCATCTGTATCTATAGAAATAAAAAAGGACAATCAATGCAACAGCTTAAGTCATTTTAAAAAAATAATTTTATTAATTGACTTCATATAACAAAGTTTTTGCAGCATAATGTTTTTTCTGTGCCAAATTTTCTTTTATTATATGTATTAACTTTCATAAACATATATTTATAAAGTTTTGTTCATAAGTATATTTTAATCATGTGAATCTGTTTAATTTAAAAAGAAAACATACTTTATAAACTGTGTGATTTAAATGGCCACTTGAACTTTTTATTTTTCTAGAAGCAAATGGCTTAAAATGAAAATATATAACCACCTGATAATTGAAAAATAATTAAATACAACATGTTTTAAGCTATTCTGTAATTTTCATAATTGCCTGAATCGTCTCTTGAAATCTTATACATTTTTGGTTTCTTCGATGCATAGAAATTAACATGTTTTACGTGAAACAAAGAAGTTAGAACAGTTGACATTTCTTCCACAAAATGAATATTTTCGCCATTAAAATTTTGCAAATCTCAGTTGACAAGGTCAGGTGAATACGAATGACTCTATTACGCAATATCTGGTGGGGAAAAAATAAAAAATTAACTATTTGTTTTTCATTGATCAAATGTTGACACTTTGCTTGTATTTCAACATCAAAAATTTCTCATAGTGTTTCAGAGAATTATTTTAGAACATAATCTTCTGAAATCTCACCAACATGTGTATCACACATATTTATTTTTTTCCTTATAAAATTTAGATCGAGCAGCAACTTTTGAGATTAATTCATAAATATTTTTCGAATATAAGTATGCTTTTAAAGAAGGTAATTAATAACTAATTATTTTTGGAGTTTTACTTCATACTGTTCTTCATACTTTGTACTGTTACTTCATACTTTGGAGTTTTACTTCATACTGTTTAAACTCAACTTTTCCAAACAGTCAAAAGTATTTAAGGTTATTTTCAAGAGATGACCAAATCATTTTGCAGAAAGAAATTTAATCATTATTAACTCACAAAGCTTGTAAAATGTGAAAGAATTTTTATTTTATGTTTTCTCTTGTTTAAAGTCACATGAAATCATTAAATGACGTAAACATTATGAGTTGTATTAAGTAAATATTTTTGAATTCGAATATTTGCTAACAGTGCTAAAATTTATTCCCAAAATATTTTCTAAATTCCAGTAATCAGTTAAGACTTTTTAAAAGTACTGATTTTATTATTAGATGACGGTAATTTTTAAAGAAAGAACACATATATGTTAATTAACAGAATTTTGTAATTCCTTATTATAGGTATTAATAGAATTTTTAGAAAATTTAATAATTTTCTGATTGAATAAAAAATGCGTTAATTCAATACTATTAGTACTTTAATAGGCATGTTGTTCAGGATTTAAATCCTATAAAAGTACTGATATATTTTATATTTGGGTAACAGTACTTTTGAAAGGAAAATATGTGTATGTTGAAAAAATCTAATTTGAAAATACCTTTTATTAATGTTTCAGATTGTGCCAAAAGATGTGAATCTCACACTTAGTGTTAACTCACCAGACGATATAGATTTCGATCGTCTGTTACCAACTCTATTTGAAGTATTTGCTATCGTATTTTGTGGGTAGGTGAATAGATCCTATTGTCTGTTATTGTAAAAGAATTTTAAAAGAAAAGAAAGAAAGTTAAAAATTGTAAAAGAAACTACAATTCACATAATCATTTAAAGTAAATATGTATTCTTCTTTCGATTCTATTTTCCTAGCGAAATTGTATAGAATCTCAAAAAATGCTTTCAAGAAGCTGAAGAAAAATTAATTTGATTTAGGAAACTGACATCATTTTATATCTGTCTTACCTCATCATTCATATATGGAAGGAAAATACAGCCCATCATAAGGATTCAATTCTTGAATCCTTATGACCGTGGTCCGAGCGGTCACCGTGTGCAGCTGGAGGTGCTTCTCTATTATGAACTGGCTGTTTCGCGTGCATTTGTACCAGTGATTTTTTCTATCTAAATTAGGTTAATTTTATGTTAGTTTTATGTTTTATAATAATTAAGCCTAAAATTGCATTCAAATAGGCTGTTGTAGTGTAATACTGATTTGGCAACCCAATAGGCAAGCTTAGAGAACCGTAGGCGAGTTCAAGTTAATAAACTACGAGTAAAATAGCTATTCCAGTATCTGTTTGAATTAAATTTTTAACAGTTATCCTTATCAAATTTAAAATTAACATGAAATTTAGAAATTTATAGAAATATGGAATTACCGATTCAAATGTGCACGAGTAGCCCCTCTATAAATAGAAAAACCCTAGTGATGCACAATGACATTGCCGACCATAGTAATCGAGACACTGAACTTCACTGCATTCAAATGCCAGTCAAGTGTGCTTAAATGCTTGTCATAAGTAAAATAACGTGAATGCCCAAAATATGTTTGAAGCAAATGAGGATAAAACAAAGAGAAATATTATCAACGAATAGAATTGAAAAACGCAATAAATGAATAACAAAATAACAATAAAAAAAAAACGAAGTAGCCGAGAGGGGTGCAGTTTATGCAATCTTAAGAAGGCGCTAGGTTTTGTAACTAAACCTTGAGCATTGAGTGAATAAAACAGGCTTTAAAGGTTTATTTCTCTGTTCTAGACTCATATATATACTTTCAGCGGTGAAATTCCCGATGGGATTTATTTCACTAAGTGAAGTTAAAGTTTTCAGTTTTGGTATTAACTCCAAACAATATTATGTAAATTTATGTAAACCCATTTAATAAGTTTTGAAGCAATCTTAATGATATAATGAGTTTCTGTGCTCAGTAATAAAATTTTCGGCTACAACTTTTCCTAGACTCTTTTCTGAGTGTATTCTGAGTCAATTTCCTTGAAGTCTTCGACTCTCTCAGACTCTGTTTCCTAGAGCAAATTTTTCAGCTTTGTAAACAAAATAAATAATTGCCTGCAGATGATACTTACGACTCATGACTTATTAGAATTTAAAAAATACAGTATAGTAAAATTACGTGCACATATAAATACTTTAACATTAATAAAAGTTTCTAAAATACCAATCCTGTTCACTGAAGACATTCTAGATTTAGAGAGCTGTTATTATTTACACTCAGTTAACCTTCTGTACAGAAGTTATTTCTAGGTGTTAAAAAAATATTCTCAGTGTAAGATCAAGTTTCCCTTAGAAAATGCGTTACATTCTTTAACATGCAATGCCGGGAAGCCCGTTTTGATCCAGCACGAGGTTGGAAAAATTAAGCATTCTTTATACTCTGATTTCCTTTCGTTTTAGTTCTAAAACATAAAAATGTGCTGAAGCGAACAATATTCGAGGACATCGATGACATCTAAATATCAGTTACATCGATATTTAAGAACCTGCTTCAAAAGATTACTTAAAAATTTATTCGAAATTTTCATAGCATAGCATAAGAGTGCATTGCGGCAGGTAGAAATTGACTCAATCACTAAATCAACCGCAGAATTGAATTTAGTTCTTTTTCATTTCAGTTTTCTAGCCGGACGATGCAACCTCATTTCAGCGACAGACATCAAAGGTCTGAACGACTTCACAACTTATTTTTCATTGCCTCCTCTAATCTTCCTGAACTTAGTAACCATCAATTTCTACCATGTCAACTGGCTTTTCATTCTGGGGATCCTCCTCGGTAAAATCGTAGTTTTCTTACTAGTAGCTGTTGTTACAGCATCTGTGCAGAGACCAACTAACTTGTCCTATGCTGGTATTTATGGCATCTTCTGCACACAAGGGAACGATTTTGGTCTTGCTTATCCTATAGGTAAGGATCATATTTGCGTTACGTGTTTTTTTCTTAGCTACAAATCTACAAATGGATAGTACATGTACAAAGTTTATTGGAATTCAATATGTTCTAAAATATGTTTTACTAGCTAAAAAATTGAAATCCATTCATTATTTAAGCTGAAATTAAAAAAAACAATGAATATCTCTGTATTAAAAAATTGTAAGGGCCGCCAATGTTTTTGGTGCTCAACTTTTCGTTACAGTCTGTTTTGATGCGCAAAAGCTATAAGACTCATAAACTTAATATTACGAAGGTGTGTCGAAAATGTATAAGGAAAATGAAAAAATAAAAAAATTAACATTCGATTATTAATTCGAGAATTATTAACAGTTAGATTTGTATCGAAAAATATCATGTGGGCCACTCTGCAGGCCACATAAATACAGCTACAAAGTTGAAATTTGAAGTGATGAAAAATCCATCTTTGTTTATGAATTATCACGGGTTTTTATCGAAATTTCGATTTGTTCGATAGTTATTGCAATTTTAAGTGATTTTTCTCACAATTTGTTTTACGTTACAGTTTGTTTTGAGGATGTAGGAAAATGTACAAGTAGTAAAACAGAACAAAAAATTGAACTGAAATATCCAGAAGTACTGAAATGGAAAAGTCTTTCACAGCTGTACAAAAGTTGTTACTGCTCGCTTAGGATGTATCACATCCACTGCATTCACAATGCCTTTTTTACATAGATTTCTAACTGTTTCAATGATTACAATACAAACCTTTCTCAGTGGGAAATACTTAAACTCTTTGATGGAAATAAAAACTCACACGGAAAAGCCTGGGAGTTAAAGGAAGGAAAAATGTTTCAAGTCGCATGAAAGATATGGAAAGGTTGTGGAATAACTTTGATATAAGGAACATACATTAAAACTGAAAAGTGCGGCAATTCAGTTAATGCACCAAAGCCATTTATCGTCGAAAGTCTATCACGATGTAAAAAGGTAAAAATTGTATTTTATTTTAACTTATAATCAACTTCCAAATAACGTTCAGGTGTTATAAAAACAATTTTGAAAGAATATCCGGTTTGTTTCTTTCAGAATCGGCACTCATTTTCTGGAACTGTTCAATACTTTTCTTATACTATTGTTCTCTTTTTTTAAATATATCTAAGAAATTGTATTTTAATTTTTTTTAGTTGCATCACTATATGGTAGCAAGCGGCCACTATATCCGGGATATATGTATCTCATCGCTCCCACCTCTCTTCTTTTCTTAAATCCCATGGGATTTATTTTGATGGAAGCTCAAAAGAATAAGAACGCTGCTATTGAAGATCCTAAGGGACATATGGGTGGAACTGTTCTAAAAACAGTGAGCAATGTATCTTGGAACATTATCAAGAATCCTATAGTCTTTGTCACACTCCTTGGTGTTTTTGGCAATTTTTTATTTCATGGTGGGTTGCCAAGTGTACTTTTTGGCATACTGCAGGTAAGCAATTTTATGACTTAAATTTCTGAATTTGTGCACACTTTATCCATAATATCGTTACTTTGAACGATACTATCACTCAAATTTGCAACAACTTTACAGCATTTTCAGAAAACTGTTTGAAATTTGAATCATAATGCGGGTAACTGGAACCATGCGAATTTTCTGGAGCATCAATTATATACTAAACGGTACTATGTTTCCATTTAGATAGAATCATTGTAACTCGTAAACAAATTAAACAGCAGTTATATTGTTGAGCTTAGTATCATAATAAAGCTATAGTACATTTTAACAATATTTTGCCTCAACAAACTCTAAAATGTTTAGCCATACACTAAGAAAAAATGGTCAAAACTATCAAAAATTTGTAAAATTTGCCGTGTTTCTGGCTTTATGTTACCACCGAAAAGAAGGATAATTTTTAACGAAGCGAAGGATGATGATTTTGGAAAAATTAACAATAGAATTTGGTTTTAAAATCTGCGTTAAAATTTGGTATGTGAAGTCAAATCTGGTCATTTTATCCTACTTCAGAGCATGGAATAGAAAATCATTAAATCGGTTAAATTTACTTTCGAGTTTTTTTTTTTACTAACTGTGTAGCAATAAGAACTATGATTTTGAAGCAGAATTTCCGGTACACCGTTACCACATGAACTGAAAAATTACCAAAATAATTTAAATACCGTTGAATTTGTTGGATTTTATTACCAGAATTATGTTTTTTCTTTCTTTTTTTTTTAATGGAATTGTCAATACCAGACAGTACGGTAATTTCACCAAAATTTTTTTCTCGTGTATGCGCAATAAAAGCCAGAAAGCTTATAAAAATATTACGAAAAATTTACGAATCACTAATTTGCATAATAATGCTATACAACGTAACATCTTATTTAGTGGGTATAAGAATATGAATAATATTATGGATCAGTTTGCATCAATATTTTAATAACGTAATTTTAAAATATTCTTCAGCTATTTTTTTTTTGTATCGTTTTCCGTTTAGATATTGTCGTCAGCTTTTTCTGGAGCAGTTTTATTTCTACTAGGATTTTCTGTAGCTAGAACTGGTGAATCAAAATATTCGAAAAAAGAAGGCCTCCTAATACCATCGGTTTTATTGATTACTAAAATGTAAGTTGGAAGTTTTATTACTTATTTAGAAAAAATGTTTTCTTACCTATCTGAATTTTACGTGATAACATTGTTGACATAGCATGAAAAATTTTAATTTTGTAAATCAAAAACAACGATATTGCTTTGTTCAAGAGACTCATGATTTAAATAACGTGGCATTTTAACACTACATTTCTTTTTTGTATATTGTTTTACTATATTTATGTAATTTGTATGAAAATTTACCAGCAATAAAAATATGGCGTACATCTCATATTTTTTTCTGCTAACCACCTTAAGCGTGAGGAATTTTAAAGCGCTTAGTAATATTCAATCGACTACAATGAATAAAATGAATTGTTTACTTTTTTTACAACGTTTTACACAATACCTATATTTTTTTCTAATAGATCAATCTTTTTATTCATTCGAAAGACTCAACTAAAACTATTACGTTATCTCTCCGAATTTCAACTAAAACGACTTTAAACTAAACTAAAATAACTATTTTCGTAAAGTTCAGAAGAAAACCTAGTAAAATTTTTAACACAAGTGTACTAATAGAAATTTCTTGGAAAAAATAGTAAATGATAATTCATTTAAATGTTATTTCACCAAAGTCAATCAAAATAATCAAATAACTATAATAAGATGGCATTCAACAGTGAGAAAAATTGTTTATAAACTACTCTCTCTTAATACTGTCATCAACTAATACTATAATCAATTGGAATTTTATTGCACCATCTAGGCCCACGTATGTAAACCATTTAGTTCCTTTAAACTGGGTACATATTAGAGCAGAGAGGGCTAAACTGCAAATTTCATGAGCGACAGAACTGGGTTTCGAGTCCCATCTTTGACCCCACACTATATCTTCCGTTCCCTTTAACTCATGAAGAGTTTCCATTGTTTTGCACTCCCTAATTAGTAACCCTGGACTATTGGAATACGATACTTAACGCAAAAAGCCTAGTCTTTCCCATCTCTTACGATAGGTGTATAAACCAGATAAACTAATTAAATCACATTCTACGGTTCCTTTAATAAAACACAACTCAACCACAACTAAATTTCTTTTCATGATTTTGAAACCATGCTAGTTGTAAATGGTTTAAAAAACAGTATAGTTTCTAATTTATTGTTTTTTTTTAAATCATACCAGTTGTAAGCGGTTTCAAAACCGTAATAGTAAAAAATGCTCTTTGACGTAAACTGGATGGATGGTTAATTGGATGGACTGGAATTAGAACGAAAATTCTAAAATTTTATGGAAATTGCTGAACACTCTCATAAAAAGCTTTTCAAGGTTAGAACGATAATTTTAGTATTTTAAGCCTGAATGTATAGGAAATTTTTTTGATACATGAGTAAAGCGTTAAATTGGACCATGGTACCATTGAAGTTATCATATTACAGTGCAAAAGTACAAAAAGGTTCATAAATATAAAAAAGATTAGCTCACACTATAATATGGTTCAAAATCTTTGGCTCAACACCGTGTTAAGGTTGCACCTTATTTTTCAAGATACTGTGATTTTTATGTCTATATTTACATATACATAGATATACATCACTTAAATTATCTTACTCGCGTGAGATCTGCAAGACTAATACATACGCAGGACAATGTAAATTTATTCATTAAAAATAATTTTAATAAATAGTATCAATTCATGTTTACTACGCTATTTATATAGAACAGTGCAAAGTTGTTCATAATTTTTTTTCTCTCCATAATTTCGAAATTAATGTTCATAATTTTTTTTATACACCGATTTATACGGTAAATTAAAGTCGTAACGCTATCTATTTGCATAAGATTTAAGAAGTAGTAAGGAAGATGTATAGAAATATATCATTTTGAAGTTAACTAAGTTAACAATTAATATCATTTTGATGACAACAATTATTACTTTTTAAATTATGTGATTTCTTAATTTTATAAAAATAGGATCGTATCTCCATTAATAATCAGAAGTTGCGTTTCTATGTTATGTGCCGGAGCATCTGATGTTGAAGATTTGGCAGACTTTGGATTTTTATACGGCATGGTCCCAACAGGCCCAATTGTTATGTTATTTGCAGCAGAATACGGATTGAGAACAGAAATGGTAAGCTATCTTTCGATTTTTATCACTAACATACTTGGATAATTCAGATAGCTTGGGACATTTGACACGTATTATAAAATTATATAAATAATAATAATACATAATAATTTTTATTATTTATCTAGTGAAATAAAAATTGTTGCGAAAGTTATACTGAATTGCACAGTAAAAAGTTCCGGATGCACCAGCATTTATAATGCTGGTACTTAATATAGATATGGGATTATGAAATTTTTATACGAATTTCCTTTCAATGAATATAATATTTTGCGAACATATTTGCATGAGGCTCTTTTTTTTAAAAAAGATCTAATTTATCTTAAATACATTTTTACAGCCGGCCAGGTGGCCGAGCGGTTAGCGCGCCTGACTATTAAGTCATTGGTGGCGGGATCGAATCCCACTCTGGGCATGGATGCTTCTCTCTCTCTTTGTGCTGTTGTGTGTGTGTGATGTGTGAATGTGGCCCACCCTATAAGTGGGTTTTGTGGCAGTGTGGCGTGGGCAACGTTGCTCGCCTCCGTGACTTTGATTCACAGGTGTCCACTGGGTAACGCTAAATGAGTAACAATTCCGGCATCTTCATAGGCGAAGATTAAAATTCAGTGCCTGCCATTAGAAAAAAAACATTTTTACTGGAATATGTAACGGAACAAAAAATCTGATACAGCGTAATTTTTACTACAAAAATCCTTGTAAAATCATTGAATGACTCTAAATTAAATCAACATTACTGCAAAAATTACGGCATAATATTTTATGGTAAAAATGGATTTTACGATAAAATGGATTTTATAGATGATGCACTCAAAGGAGGGGGGGGGGGTACTTCGTAATTTGCTCCGGAATTTTTTACAGTGTACTCGTTTTATAAGTTCCTGTTCAACTTGTGATAATTTTATTATTACGTGTTGAACAGAACTGGCGTTGAACAGCTGCCCCGATTCTGAGTTTACGACTATCAATGTTCATCTCTGCTGTCTTTTAATTTTGGACTGAACCCAGGAGACAAAGGCACTCCTGAATCAAGCATGGGGATAAACTATCCTTCGTGGGGAACTTTTTGATGGAATTAACCAACTTTTGCCTTATTTTTATTTAAGAAATGAATGTTTATTTGTGTTTTTAAAATAAGTAAGAGAAAACATATTGCATCTGCGAAAATAATAAATGGGATAGGTTTTTAATTAAATGCTAGCAAAACGTGATGAACTGAAGATTAATTTTATTTATGTTTTAATTATAAAAAATTGTTTATAGTTGATTAAAAAATATTTTCAAATTCAGCTTATATCACTTAATACAATTGTTCACTTATTAAACGAATGGGTGTTCCCCAAGAAAATAAAATAAAGACTATCATTTATTTCAAACTATAAACATTTATTGTATGAAGTGAGTATCCTTTATTTAATGCAATAAATATTTTTTTTCAATATCTTTTATTTCATAGAACTTATAACATTTAACTGTGAGCAATGCAATCTATATTTATGAATCAGAAATCGCTGAAAATTTATCATACAATATAAAATAAAATTTTCCTACGAAAAGTTAAATAAACTATAAATACTTTGAAAAGACAAAATTGATTAATTTTTCTATTTTACCCTATTCTGCTTTTAAAGAAATGGTTAAAAAACATAACGCTGCGAAAAAATAATGAACTTTATGTGAGTTAGACATGCTGAATAGTCGTCTAGCCGGTATAATTGAATCCTAATCATGTGAACAAAATCCACATAAAAAGTTTTATTTTCATGGGTATAGGAATAGAAAAAATTGTGAAATTTAAGAGAAAAAAAAATGAAAAGGAAAAAAAGAAAAAGAAAAGGAGCTTGAAGGCATAAAATGCGCTCCCCTTTTTCTAAAGCAAGCTTTTTTAATTAAAGGTGAAAAATTATCTTTTGTCTAAAAGAAAGCAGAACTACAGAACGCAATTTTCACTATTTTTTACTCAGTGTAGCTTCAAAGTTTCTTTCCGATTTTTAACAAATAACTTTATAAACTACTGAAAACAAAAATGTAAAGACACGTTTCATTTGTATAGTGAACAAATTCGATCAAGTTAACTATCTATAAAATTAAAAGAAAAAGTAACTGGGATCAATTTGTGTGAATTTAGAATCACACTAGAACAGTTTGTCCTAGAGTGCTGAAATTTGGGCTTCGGGGTTTAGTACACCATCCTAAAAACCATTGAGAAACGAATTTTTCTTTTATTGGTTTTGCATTACTCATTATTGCAATTTAAATTACATATGCTTTTCCAGCAATTTTTAAAGCACAACGAGATGCACACGGCGAAAACAATTATGATAAAATAACCGTACTGTATGGTAGTAAAATTTCTGATTAAAAAAAAACCATGATTCTGGTAAATAAAATCAAAATATACGATATTTAAACCATTTATTTGGTAATTTTTCCATTCATATGGTAACGGTATACCAGAAGTTCTGGTTTTCGAAACAGTTCCTATTGCCACTCATTTAGCAACAGATACAAAACTGAAAAATAAATTTAATCGAGAAAAATGGGTTTTATGCCATGCTCTAAAGTATCGTGATAAAATTTCCAAATTTTACTTCGTATATCAAATTTTATCACGTATTACAAAACCATATTTTATTGTCAATTTTACCAAAGTGCTCCGGTAAAAATTACTAAGCTTTTTGGTGTTTCCATAAGATCCAGAAATACGGTAAATTTTAAATTGTGGCTGTTTCGAAAAAAAAATTTCTCAGCTCATTAAAAAAAAATTACTAACAAAAAAGGAAGAAGGAAATTGTTTTAAAAAACTTTAGCATTAGTTTTTCCTCTTAACTAAAATATGTTGTTAACTTATTAATGCTGTAAGTTAAAATAGTTCTGAAATAAACACAACCATGTGTTATAAGTAGTGCGAAAATTGGCACTACATCTCTTATTGTAGGCATTTGAATATACGTATGTTATTTTTTTTCTTTATTTCCAATGAGCTGCACAATCGGTCTTGCCGATGAACAGACCTAGTGCGTAATCCAGAGGTGGTATCCACTCTTTCAGGACCACCACAATGGGTGAGAAACTGTTGGTCATGTTAATTTGGACGTCTAGTTTCTGCCACACTAGATGGCAGCACCGAGACTCTATTTCGATGCTAAAGTGAACTAGGAATTCAATTTTGCCGGAAATGTTAAGAGCCAATAAGGCGCTCCAGGAATCTTTTACATGCCGCATAATCATACGACATGGCCGCTGACGACTTTCTGCATCCCGAAAATCCGGTGTCTGGGCCGGGGATCGAACCCGCAGACTTGGGCTCAGAAGGCCGACGACAAACCAACTGCGCTGAATATATGAACCACTGAATATATGTTATAAATACAGCATTATTGTTCTTATCTATCGCTAACTGAATAAAATTCGCGTAATATTTGGAGTGAAAACTACAGCTTTAAGTAATTTATAACTCAAAACAGTCAAATAATTTTTTACGTATTTTTTTTCTTGAACTTAAAATGCACTTGCAAAATCTTATCCAGTTTATTTATAAACCTTGTTACATAACATAAAAATGCTTCTTATATAACATTAAAGAATACACGAAATGAAACAATGAACGAAAGCGATACTTGTTTTTAAGTTGCGTTTTAAGTAAAGCTGTGCACGAAATTATTCTCTTCATCAAAACAATGTTTGATTTAGTATAAAAATAACCTAAATATATCTCCTCAATAATGACGCACTATATAAGTTATTTTTGAAATAATTCTTGGAAAATTAAAAAGGCGTAATTGAAGATAAATATTCTATTCTCTCATGCGACAGTTCTAGGAAATTCCACGCATTAGCTATTGTTTCGACGATTTATATAACTTTTCATTTCCTGTATCTATTAAAGTAGGCGAAAGTTATGAAGATGTTCAGTAATTTATAAACGTTTCATCCCTTAATGTGCCTCATTGAAAAATATAAAGATTATCTTTTTAAATGTAAATAAAATTATAAAATGTCAAAATTAAAATCGATTTAATGAGTTTTCTGTTATGTAGCTTTAATTGATAACTACTCATAAAACATAGTTACGAACTCAAAACCTGTATGAATGAGTAATAAATAGTTGCTCTTTTATATATTTTAGTTAATGTTTACGAAATATTTGGCCTCATAACTAATGACTAAATTTTTTCAAGAGCTACTAAAAGACAATTTAGGGAAAGCCCGAAAGGAAGTTTCTGTTAGCCTTAGTGGAATTTTATACCTGTTCAATCAATAAAATTATTAAGAAATAGAAAATTAGAAAATATTACATTATTCTCCAGTTATGTATATATATTTTTTTAATTCTAAAATGGAGTCACGTAATTTGGCATATGTTCAGACAACTGCATTTGTTTATTTATGTAATATCATAGCACGTCAAGTCATTTAACAAGATAATATGTTAACAACACATTAACGAATTATTTTTTTCATTTAAGACTATTATCTTCTAATTTTATAACATAAAAAAGTAAGCATTTATATTTTCGATAAGAAATAATGTAAAATTAGCTTCGAAATATTACACAACTTATTACAATAACTTGTTGCCCAAAATAATACCTGAATGCGTCGTTTCTTATTAACATTGGAAAGACTGAAAGAAAGAAACATATTAGAGACTTCGTCATTAAAATTCCATTGTATCACATTTGATTTGATTAACGAGAATACTTGATTAAATGGAGCACTGACTTTTCAATTACATTTCTACATTAGTTTCTCAGATAACTCAGTTTATTTTTTTCTCTGAATTATAATTGAGGATGTGTTGAAATACTCTTGTGTTTTAATGAAACTGAGATACTTTATACCCTTTAAAAGGTGTTTTAACCCGAACTTAAGTGAAGTTATAGGGTACCAATCAAAATACTTTAAGGGTCACTTTAGCCCGTCCCGTCATTCTAGGTATAAGGTTCTATACATACGTTCCTATCAGGCTAACACATGAATAATTAAATCGACACTTAAAATTGCATCAACTTGATATTTAAGATCTTCTATTACAAACCAATGGGAACTAGAGTTAAAGGTAAGTCTGAGATCAGATGGCTTGACTGCGTAAAAAAGGATTTCAAAATCCTAAGAATTACTAACTGGAAGACACTCGCAAAGAAAAGAGCAGAATGGAGGAAGGTTCTTGGGAAGCCAATGACCCAGAAAGGGTTGTCATGCCAATAGAAGAAGAAGAAATTAGGAGAAGTCAGAAATACTCAATACTTCAAATAAGTAATTTTTTGAAGTACAGAGTAATAAAAGAATAAAAGTGGGTCAAAATGGTATCTTTCCAGTGTTAAAGTTTTAATAAACATTGTACAAAAAAGTAAGTAAGGGGATTGTACCTTAATGTTGGAAAAAGAACGAATCACTCTAAAATTGGTCGCTGTTTATAAATATTATATAAACTTGTTGAAGTCAGGTAATACATACATAACTGTTCTATTAACAATATTTTTGTCTTTTAAAGATGGCATCAACGATGGTGTTGTGTACTGGACTTTTTGGACCTGTCGTCTTTGTTCTAGCAAGAATGTTATCTTTAAATGTAAAAGGCATTGGAGAGTTTTCTGATGAGCTAAGAGCTACTATGCTTGTATTGAGTATCCTTAGCTTTATATCTTGCGTAAGTATAAATTACCTGTACAAAAAATCACTATAAAAATTTGAATAGCAGACTTACATCATTTCGGGACGAGATATATAAATTCGGATTGACATTACCACCTTATTTAATTTGGTAGCTATACGTGCAACTATTTTCCCGCCAAATAAATACGTTGGTAAATGCATCGAGAGATTTATCATAAAATTATATGTAGAAATAAGTACATAATAACGTAGTTTAACCTTGGATGTAGCGTTTGGAGATCATCTCCATTTTAAAAGACACTAATAGTGTAGGATTTTTTTATTTGATGTCATTAAGCAAAACATAACCTATTTACTATTTTATTATATAGTAAATATTTGTTATTTTATTTAATAGTACCGTCATTCGGGACTACTTTGTGCAGGATTTCGCAGTTTTTGAACTTTGACATGTAAAAAAACTATGTTAATTCAAACTTTAGTAAAATTTATCGATATCATATTCATAACTGGACTCAGACGAGTGAATTTGATAAATATTGGCATTATTTGTATGTAATATTTACGAATAATAAGTCAAAACATACCTTGCACAAAGTAGCCCCCAAATGGGGCTACTTTGCGCAGCGATAGGAATTCGGTTTAATAATCATGTTTTTAGTAAAATATTGATATAAAATTGTTAAAAAAGTTAATTGTTGACATTTTTAAAGACAAAAACATCAAGATATGTAAAGATATTAGTTTGAAAATAATTTTTAGCGTTAAGAAACCATTTTTTTGAAGAATTATTTTCTTAAAAAGAATGTTTATTTCAAAACATTTGAGTTTAAACAAAAGAAAACCATATACATTTTTAAACATTGAAATGGATGAAATTTTAAAAATAATAATTATCACATATTCATTAACATTTATATTATTGTTAAATTTGAACATAACATCCTTGAATGAACATGACAGAACTTGCTCTTCAGTTTCTGTCAAAATTACCCGATGTCCTATAAAATATATTTTTATGTGTTATGTCGTTTGATTAAGTCATTAGAAAAATCTTTGTAGAAGAAAAATAATAGTTTACCAGGAAGTTTCACGTGTTTCTTGTGAATTTTATTAGAGATAGTATTTCTGTGGATTTTGTACTTCCGAGAAGCTTCTGCAATCGACATACCACCAACAACTGCTTGCAAACATTGTTGCAGCTTTTCTAAAGTGTAATCACGGTAGTTTCTCGTTCCAGGTATTTTTTTATAACGTCTGACCATTTTTCTGTCGAAAAAAAAACGAATGAAACTTTGCACAAAGTAGCCCCAAAATGCATTTTTTTTCATTTTCCATTTATTTGTTATTAATTTTCAAATTTTTTTAACGCTAACATGATATAATTGTTTATTAATATATAAATAAAAAATTTTGCACTTACGACAATTTTTTTATCAACGTCTTTGTATTTCACAGTTTCCACGCACACTTTTCGACATCCGACGTCCTCGGAAAGTTGTTGGCATTGGATGAACGAAACACACTCTGAGATTGTTTTAAAATTCGAATAAATGTTTGTAGTAATAGAAGAGACTTCTATCTTCAAATTCCACACATTTTTGAAGTGAAATAAACATAATACTGAATAGCAGCACTTGAAAAATGCCAAATTCGAATTTGCACAAAGTAGCCCCCGCTGCACAAAGTAGCCCCGAATGACGGTAGCTTAAAAAATTTGAACTGTAATTTTTTGTTTTTGCTCTTTTTACATCCAAATTAGACACGGCTCCTTTCTTCATATGCTATAAATAAATATAATAATAAACTAATACACATTTTTCAAAATTTTTTCTTGACAAAACTGATATAAAACATGTAAATAAATCTATTAATAGTATGTATTATATTAATGAAATTTTTATGAAGTGAAATTTCTTATGAGTTTGGGGGGGGGGTAAAAATGTGCTTATAGCTTAATGTCACATCACTTGACCTGTTTTTATTATTAATAATTTTACAGACCATGTAATGTTCATGATATTATCTGTTTTTATAAGTAATAAATTATTTAAAAATTATTTCAAGAAATTAACGGCTGAAACTGAACTTCACGATAAATTTAAATCTACCATGGAAGAAATTCGATAATACATATGTATTTGTGAAATAAAATTATTCAAATAACATGCATTTTTAAAAAATTATTTAATGTCAACAAAAATGGCAAGCTTACATTGATGATTACTGGTTAAGCTTTATTTATGTATGTATTGAATAATTTGTTTTATTTATGGTAGTTTGTTTTCATTTATTCTTTTTTAGTTGTGGATTGGGCTGTCATTAATTTTTAGCAAGAAAATGAAACGACAAGTTTATAAAATTACGGGAGGATTCATCTCATCGCAGGTTAGTTTGAACTATTTTTAATAAGGAATTAAATCACAACTATTTATTGAATGAGGCCACATTATAAGCGTTAACAATGAATACTTCCTTTTTAATAATATTATGTAAGCAGGAAGGCTTTTATATTTATATATTTATCGATTCTTTCTTCCTTAGATGTATTTTATCAATTTCCTTTATCATTAATTTGTTTTATGAACTAAATATCAACGGATTGGAAATAATTCTGAGTACAAAATATATGTTATTTATTTTTTTATTAATCAAATCGCTAATAAAAAATAACTTGCATTTTACTTAAACATAACGTACCAAATTTTTTTAACAACATAGGATATAAAAAAGATATATTTTTCTTCGGAATAATAAAGCAAATTGAATAAAAAAAAGGGAAAAGAAAGTCACTAAAAGTAAAATGTAAAACAGAAAACAGTACGAAATGTGGTGTCATACCCTCATGGCAGTAACGTCACACAAGTGATAGGATCAAATTACATTGTCAACTAAAATCTCATGACAAGGTGGACATAAGCTGATCTCGCAAAATGTTCCATAAGGAAACCTTATAATTATTCATATCTAAGGTGATTTTCATCTTAAGACAAGTTTTATACAAGTATTTCTCTCGTATTTTTCTACAAGTAAGCGCACAGAATAGAGCAAATTGCTCCAGACCTCGTTTTAACTTTAAGGTCAGAAGGTTTACAACGAAAAACGTGGAAAAAAACCTTTTTCGGCGGTTTACACGAAAATGTTTTTAACAAATGAAAATAAACTTTACTTTGCTATCTCGGATTGTTCTAATTGTACAGGAAACCATTGAGTTGAGACTTTGACGTGCCTATCTCGGGATAAAAAGCAAGATTACTTGAAATGAAAAGCAAGATATATCTATCCTTCTCAGAAGCTAGATGACAGTTAAGTCCACAAATTCCTGACCATATCTAAATTTGATCACATCACTAAGACATGAATATTGTAAAGTACTTTTCATCGGAAGTAATCACGTCCTTTGATGATGGATTGCAAGTACTTGCTTATCTCCAAGTGAAATTAACTTACAGTACTTATTTAAAAAAAATAAGTAAATGTTATTTTCCGGCATGATATTTATTTTGAAAGAAGTAAAAAAAATTTATATGTATCACCTAAATATAAAAGTAAGGTGAAAAAATGAATATTAAATCAAATATTTGTAACCATTAAGGACAAATATTTTTTAATCATCTGAGTTATATGCATGTAATAAATTGCTCTCCTATTGTCATTCTAGATTATACTGGCTTTAGGAATTTTGATATGGTCTATCTGCCAGAGTAATGAGGAATGGACGAAATATCTCGAAATTGCTCTCATATCTGCTGGACAGTTAATGACCAGAGTTTGGGTGACGATACTGGCTGTAACTATGGTTCTTCTGAGAAGAAATCCATGTTCATCATTCGTGCAAAAAATGTTCTGGCCTTATTGCATTGGAATCGGGTAAGACAAATTCAAACACGCGCATGATTAAGAAATTAAAAGTTGGAGCCCTGAGAAACGGGGTGTGTGATCATCGTTGGGTGATGAACTGTAAAGGTTTCTATTTCTCAATCCATTACTTATTTGAGCTAAATGTTTTATTTTTTTCGCAACGAACAACATATATGGGTCGTTTTTTCTTCGTTGGAAGATAGAAAAAAGACAAGCATGTAGAATGTAATGTGTCGATAACTTAAACGATATACACATAGTTATATTCAACATAATTGACATAAAGTACGAAGTAATGTATAGTGCGCAAAAGAAAGTGAACGCTCTGAATAACTTTTGATCTGATAATCAGATTTTCAATAAATTAGAGATGGTTTGATATTTTAAACGGTATTAAAGACATATAACGATGTATATTATTACTGTATTTTAAGTTGAGAAATGAGACGCAAAACTTACTTTTTCTGAATAAACATACCTTTTATTCGAAGAATTCCGGTTTTTGAATCTAAAAATAGCTGGGGGGGGGGGGAAACNGAGAAGAAAAGGGGGGGGAAACAGCAATCTGGAAAATACCAATGAGGAGCAATAGTTGAGACAAGAGAGCAGACGAAAATGGTCCCTTAATATTCATTTTCCTCTTTATGTATTTTGTCATATCTCGAGAACTTTTTTAAGCTCTCCTGTCCAAATTCCTCCATATTTGAAGGATCAAGAAAAAAGGCATACTTATTCAGGAAAATATGTCTTTATGCATGATTTCGTAACTTAAAATATATTGTCTCCACTAATTGACATTTTTATGTTTGAGTTCGATCTCTCGAACCATTAAGACTGAGTCTTAGTTTTTAAAATTTCGATCATTAGATCAAAAGCTACTCACTGTATTCCGGTTTTTATTTTGCACACTTAACATTAGATTCATCACATCTCGTGATGAATCTGAACATTATTTTCAACGCCGGTGTAAGTTGATTCTAAACGTTGCTGTAAACGATGATGCAAGTTGCGCATAAACGTTTTTTGCGTTTTTATTAGCTTGAAAGTTATGGCCTGAAAAAACATGAAAATAACATTAAGGCTCATCTCACATCTCAGGTAGATCAGACGAATTAATTTCTTATGAAGAAAGATGGCTTCTCATTAGTGTAGAGTAGCAGCCAAAGTTTTTTTCTTTTAAAGTTCTTTATGTTAAGTTTCGTTTATAGTTTTTCTCTTTAAAATTTGATATGTTTTGAAGATTTCTTGGCGTTTTCGCTCGTTCACACTCGAATTCAGCATTGCCCAAAATAAGTTTTTAAGTATATTGCCAGATTTAGATTTGAAGGTTGAATTTTTTATTTTAAATCAAATTAAATGTCATATATGTGTATTTTATAGATTTCCAGGCCTCATCGTTGTGATGATTTTAATTATCACGGGAATCGGACAGTGTGAACCTGATCTAGATAAAGAACTGCCTCTTTTCATTTATGGATCTACCGAGGTAATGAGGATTTTATTTATTATTTCTCTTAAAAATTATGGCATTAAAATTGATACTTGATACACTTGATACGGTGATTACATGCTTAGATCAATATTTTTACATTTGTGAAACTGAAAATTATATCCGTATGTTGACTCTCTGTCAATTCCTAAATCATCTGTTTCTGTAATTTTCTCCTGTTCTCAATTCAGTAACGAATCTATCATGCTCTGAATTGCAGAACTTGACCACATAATGCCCTAGAACAATTTTAGTTATTTTTTAACTATTCAAAACTTCTTTGTTCAATAAAAGGAGACTTTTAAGTTGAATTTAATGAGGAAACGAAGAAATTCTGGTTAATAAACTAGGAAAACCTTTGCGAAATTCGTTCCTGAAAAAAAAATATAGGTTTCATATTTTATGTTTCGGTTATTTCTGCAGAAAAAAAAAGTTTAGATAAAACAAATTTTTAAAACCGAATTTCGTGAAAAAATGAACAAATTTTTGCATCGAAGATAATAGGTAACAATACATGTTTCGGCCAACCTGTTTTATTATTTCATTACATAAACGGCGATAAACAACCATCTCATTTTTGGGTTTATGGCTATCAATGTTTATCACCATAGCCTTGTTATTTTAAACACATCTTAGAAGACAGAGAAAGACCTGGGAAAATTCGTGGAAGACTTTTTGGTGAAAATAACAATCAACTTCCGTTACGCGGAGAAGAAAACCACTAAAATATCTTACGTCTATTCTAAATCGTGAATTCTAAATCGTGATCCGTCTACCACTGAGGGTTTTTACTATATCAATATGTCTGGGCCGGGATAGCCTGGTCGGTAGGGCGCTGGGCCCATATCCAGGAGGTCGTGGGTTCGATCCTCGCCGGCCGAAGACTCCCCGTGTAGTAAATGGTGACTGATGCACGTTAAATCTGTCGAGTCTCAAAGTCCTCCATGTTCCCACAACAAATCAATACCTCTGGGGGTACTGATCCAGGAGTTTCCTTGTCTTCTGGATTGGTTCAAAATTACAAGGCTACGGAGTTGAACGTAAGTAGTCGTAAACCCATGAAATTGGGTCGGCTGTTCAACGACGGTTATAAAATAAAATATATCAATATGTCTGTTTGAACCCGATGGGGCACCGCTATAATTCGAAACTGCCTCATGAGTCACCACGGCTCAGCTGGAGATATTACAAAACATTGACGATATCTGCAAAGAGCCAAAATTTTCAATTAATTTTTCGAGAGCAGTGGTGGCTTCTTCTCAATCTTCAGTGGTAGACATATATGGGCTAGAGTCCCCTTGCAGTCAGGCTAACCATGGGAGATTTTTGTGGTTTTTCTCTCCATATAACGCAAACGAAGGTTATTTCCATCAAAAAGTTCTCAACGAATTCGAATGTTTCCCAATACTTGATCTAGGAGTTCTCTTGTCTTCTGGATTGGGTTCAAAATTGCAAGGCTACGGAGCTTAACATGGTAGTCGTAAACCCTGAATTGGGTCGGCATTTTAAAACCGGTAATGAATGAAAATAAGAGCCGTGGTGGTTCAAAGGATAGAGTGCTCGCTTTCCAATGACGTGATGTGGGTTAGAATCCTAGCGATTGCTTATTGATGCGAATTCTGTACCTGCCTCGCACCGATTACAGTGATGACGCAAATTATCCTCAGAGGCGAATTTCTCCCAGTACTTGATCCAGGGGTTCCTTCGTCTTCTGAATTGAGTTCAAAATTGTAAGGGTGCGAAGTTGAACATTGGTAGTCGTAAAATCAAAACTGGCTCGACTTTTCAACGATTATGACAAAATAAAAATAAAAAATAACCTTTGGACATATTCACAACCACGAGACATAAACTAAACTGAGCAAATATTTTGAAATCAAATCATCATACTGAAATCAATATCATTTGAAAATCAAACTAACGAATAAATGGTTAACCCAATAAATGGTATCTGGAAAATCAGGCCAACGAATAAATTGTTTTAATTTGATTACTGTGATTCTTTAAACCATCATGCATACATTTTATTATTTAGGCATTTGGATCCATAGTAGTACTTGTTGTTTGTATAACGACAACAACTCTTTGTCTCGTCTTATACTTCCGATCACCTCAAAAAGACATGCCAGAACTTGCTTCGAAATTAAATGTGGAAAGCTTAGGAGCAGAATCCAAAGATATAGTTGCAATTCCTATTGAAAAAGATGTAGAAAAGAACCTCCTTGACGGAGCTGGTATTGCGATTTATAAAATAAAGAAAACAGACTCAGGTAAGTACGCACTATTACTGCCAAAGGATATTATTTCTTATTTTATACACTGTAAGCAAATACATGACCATTCAGAAGATTATTGAATAATTACAAGCTCAAAATTACTCCAAAGAGGGAACCATTTGATACATCAATGCAAACAGCGCAAGAGAAGAAAACTATGGAAAACTCAAATTTTAATTCTTTTTCGTCGAACAAGTCAAACATTTAGCATTCTAAATAATGTTTTTTAGTTATTTTTTTTTCAAGTTAGTAAGATATGTGAAGCTTCTATTTGCAAAGTTTTTTGTCATCCATTCTTAAAATTTTGAGTAATTTACTAAATACGAATAATAATTTGTACACATACGTCCCTAAGGCTGCTAAGTAAACCTTTTAAACTTTTTTTAATATTTCTGTCAGACTTAGTTCTCGATAACACTTAAGTTCATTGATAGAAAGATTTAGCACTTCCACACAGCCTCTCACACGCATAAATGTGTTCTGCGCAAGCACTGTAAAGAATCGAAATTTTAAATTATTTATATTAAAATCTACGTTATTTATACGTTATTTATTATACGTATATTACCATACATCTAATTACGTTATTCATTAAATTTTCTCTACTTTTCATATTTTTCATAAAAGTCCATTAGGAAATATATCCACATAAATATCAAATTAGAGTGCATATTTGTTTCTTAAAAAATAGGCATTTTATGCTATTTTTATTACATTTTAGTGGATACTGTAATGTCAAGTATTAACAAATTAGAAGAACGACTTCAACCCGATTTTCCTGGCTCAAATGACAGGTAATATTATTTACTTCCTTTATAATTTACTAGAGAACTACTATTGTTTGAAACTATCAATTTAATAATAAATTTTTAAATTCAATTATAAGTTTATAAAATCGCAATCGTAATTAACGTACCACAACTGGAATAAAAAGGCTATTTGCTTTTTCTTTTTGAGCATTGCAATATAAGTACATGCAATTGTGGCACTGTGCACTAAACGCGGTTAATTCTACACAAAAAAGAACACAAAATGTATCAGTAGTTTCTTTTTTACATGTACCTCGATAATTTTTTCCTCTAAAATTCTTTTACAATAGAAACAGTGGTTTTACATTAATGAAATCTTTTGCTACAAAAATGCATAACTAAACTATAAATGATGATTTATGAAATTTTTTTTTATTTTATCGTAGACTCTCTCAGAGAGTCATCAGTGAAGGAATGAAGAGATCAGAGACATCATTCAGTGAAAAGCATTTACTGTCCTCCACAGATAGTGAGAATTCGACACCAACCTCTTCACCCATCCATACCGTCAGCTGCAAAAAATCACCTTCTGCTAAAGAAGATATCAGCAGATCCCATTTGCGTCATGTAATTCTCCTTATCCTCAACTTGATATCAATGGCAGTGGTAAGTTTACTCTTGAAATTCATTACTAAATTTTCATTATAATTAGGTGAAAATGTGTGTTTAAAGAAGGGGAGTGAAGAAAGAAATCTAGAAAATTGATTTCAACACTAACTGTTTGTATTTACGTTAAAAAAAATAATAAAGATCATTATAGAAAATCCAGATTAAGATGGATTGTAAAAGCGGAGGCAAACTTTCTTTACACCCTAGGGAAAGGAACTGGCTCACTAGTGACAAAAATATAGAAAGTGGTGGAAGAAACTACAAAGGCACAGGCCCAACTAGGGCTCTCTGGCCAATTATGGTGAGTTCGAAGTAATCGACTACTAGGCTAAGCTAAGCGCAGTCGAAATCAAGAAAACTGATTTTAACATTAATTGTTTGTATTAATGTAAAAAAAAAAATCGCTTTCGTGAAAATTCACCAAAGAAAATGCAGATTGAGATGGATTAGGTCAGTGGAGACAAACTTACTTATTATCCAAACTGGCTCGTACTGGACAAAAATAAGACGTGGTGGAAAATAATATAAAGGTAGGCACTGGCCCCCACTGAGTTGTCTGGCCTATTATGAGGAGTAAGAAGCATTTCAAAGAATTATATTTGTGCTGACTGAAATATGAAAGGTCAATAAATAAAATTAAGATAACCAACCTCAATTGTGATACTAATCATTCGCTTGCGGATGTTAGGAAATGGAAAAAATGGTTCATTCACGCAATGAACAAAAACATTTTTTCAACTATTCGATTTTGATCCAATTAAATAAGAATAGTTAAAAGACTTGATAGAGCACCTTTGTTAATTTTAGTAAATTTGGTTAAATTATCTTTAGAATAAAAAGCAAATGTTAAGAATATGTTCATAAAATATAGATAAAAATACATTAAAATTTTCTAGAAATTATAAAGTGGGAGCTCTATGTAAAATTACAGAGAAGTTAAAACGGATAGCTTTTTTGAAAATATAGAAAAATCATAGGAGATTCAATAATCTTATTGAAAAATAGCATGCTGAACTCTGTAAATAATAATCTCCCTGCTTTTAAACGTTAAGGTTTTTCCAGCCCAGAAACTGACATTGACAATATAATAGAATAGAATCCGAACTACTTAGAGATATTGATGTTGAAAGCGAACATTCTATCCAAACCACTCCAAGTAGGCGGCAATAAACTTGAGAAATAAAAATACAATAAGTTAAAACATCTGAAAGCAAGTCCATTTGGAGAAATGCACAGGGAAAAGCCAATATTTTCTGTAACACAGTTCCTGAGAAACTTGTTTATATGCGTTTGAACAAAAATTTACGTAATTAAACAGAAATTCTAATTTTTATTTGTGTACTTTTTCGAAATTTTTTCTACAATGTTAGTTGTAGAATCTATTATCTTTTTATTTTTATATTCAATCCTCGTGCGTTCCTTAATCCTGAAAGTTTATTTATTTATTTCAAATTTTACTTATTATGTTCTTTGATGAAACTCTTGTATTGAGATTTTTATGATTTTAAAAATTTATTCATAATTGTCACATTTTCCCTCTCTTGTTTCGCAATCATTTTCACTTTTAAATATCTTGTTTAATAAAGTATATTTTATAAGTACAATTAAAATAAATGAATGCTTTATTTTGTTTCATTCTCCGAAGTTTTATAAATCAGAGGCCACTGCCCTTTTTTAAATAAAATTCAATGTTTTAATTAGATTTTTGGAGCACTATCATTATTTACGCTATACTATCAAAATATAATTTAATGTTAACTTAGTAGGCAGGTAAATATCTATATTTTCGTGAACTTTCTAACTGCATAACAGGAAGAAAGCTAATTAGCAGTAAAATTGTAATTGTGAACAGGAAGAAAACTAGTATTCAAGAAGTCAATAATAAAAAGATCTTAGATATGTAACATCCTAAAAAGAGACGTTTCAGCTGTTTAATTTTATAGTTGTAATAAATTAACGATCGATTACTTTAAAAAAATGAGACTTTTCTACCCTTGTTTTTATGCGAATGCCTATATTAATACATCGCCGATAAGTTAGATCAAATTAATTATTATTATTTTATTATTAACTATTATTTTATTTTTTCAACCAGGGTCTAACAATCAGTACGTGGAAATTGTCAACAAATCAACCAAATGGACTCTTTGTAGCCATGGAATTTCTGGATGCCGTTTTAAATGTTGGTCAGGTAAGCAACTCGCTATTATTGAAAAACAATATTGATTTTTTAATAGGCTTTTAATGATTTTTAAACTATATCTTTTGTTTATAGGGAGTATTTGTATTTATCGTCTTCATTAAAGATACAAAGTATATCCTAGCACCTATTTCAAAGTGGTAAGCGGTGATTTTTTAAAACTTTATTAATTTCCTGTAATTGGTATCAGGTATTGTTAGAAAATGAAAAAGAAATTTAAATTTTTTCCTTTCAATAGTACAAACACCGTATCAAAAAAAAATTATCAATAATGCTTAAAGGCAGCATTAGATTTTCAGATCGGCTATTTCAGGAACTTTAAAGAATTGCGTTTAAAAAGTTCTCCTGTGAACAAAATTTCTATAGCTATTAATGCTTTTTATAGTAATAAAGTGAACATTCTATTCATCAGATTGATTTCGCACTTGTACGTTAGGTTCCCTACTCTCCCATACTTAAGATTTGAAGCAACTACACATGCTCGCGTTAATTTTAGATGCCGATGATAATACCACGATGGTTGAAACTTTTGGAGTCAGCTTTGGCCTGTAACAGAATGTAGAGTTATAAAAGAAAAAGAAGGATATTAACATAGCTCACCCGTTTGAAAGTTATCATATGCTTAAAAACTTTCTGGTGTGACTATATTTTCTAAACAAGGTTATAAGGCCATTAAAATGACGTCTCATACTTAAAATTCTGAGTAAACGTTCTGCTGATGACCGCAACTTATCAGTAAAAATTTTTATAACTTTGTCACAGAACTAAAGTTTAAAGTCAAATATTTATAAAGGTAGAAATGAAAAGGAGTTTATAACTTATCCTAAACTTTTTTATCAATGAACTTTAGGAGTGCGGCCTATCTGCTAAATATAAAAAAAGAAGAAGAAATTACATTTAATATTATTCATCGGTAAGGAAGATAAAATTATTGATTTTGTAGAAAATTTAATTGTGTACAAAGCTTTATATGGATCATAATTTTTTTTTATTTTACAACTTAATTATAATTTTAGGTTGACGAAAGTCAGGCATGGTTTTTACTCACTAAATGAGGATTCGATAGATGTAGCTATACAGCAACAGTGTCATCAGTTTCGTACTTATCATAGAGACAACTGCAAAAAAGACTTACCAAAATCGATAATGTAAATATAAATATTTTCATATGTTCTTTTATTAATCATGTTCAAGCTGAGGTCAGATTGCCAAAACATTGATTGTTTGACGACCTCAATTATACTAGAGCATTTGCTGGATTATTTATTTTTTTTTTTTTTGAGAAGGGAAAATGAAAAAAAATCAAATGTTTTAAAGATTTATACAAGGTGTTCCGTAAAGACTATCCTTAATATGGATTTTCAGAATCTTTATCAAATATCGAAACAAAATATGTGCACATTGGAAGGTCTCTAATCAATATTTAAGCGAATAAAACGCTATAGAAATTCTATAAATTACAGTAAAGGAAGGACTATGCAATAAACAGCAAGGCAGGATTAATTGGAGATTAAAACCTGAAGGTATTTCTAAAATCGTCCTTCATCTTCTGTCTTGTTGTTCATCACGCATACCTTAATTTACTATAAATTTTTCGTTTTCCGATATTGGTTTTTTCCTTGCTAAATATTGATAAGAGACCCTCAATGAGTACACTTTTCATTTCTAATAAGAATTCTAAAAAATACATACTATAGGTGGGCTTTTTGAAGTATCCTGCATAAATCTCTAAAACAGTGTTTTTCTCCTCTTCCCCCCAAAAAATTTATAGTTAAAGTCTTCAAAGAGTCAATATTTTGCCACATAAGCTTGTGAAAACTTTCGCAAACCATCATCTTTCTGCAATATGCCTCATTTATTGAAAAATCTCATTCATTTTCTAATCAGCTTGACAATTTTCAGGCATATCGCACTCAATCCATTTACCTTTGAGCTATATATAGAATGAACTATCCATTGCTCATTTAGCCTTAACCGTTTGCAGCGAGCTCCAACCGTTTCAAACATTTACAATGAGCCTTGAGTTATTTCCTTGAGCTTGCTCTAAGGAAATCAAACAAAAGAAATATGTTCAAATTAAAACTAGCTTTAAATTACATCTTTTTACAAAACAGACAACAAAATTAGAAAAAGAAAAGAATTCTGCACTATCGAGTGTTTAAATTAATGTTTTTAAGTGAAAGGTTTCATTAAAAAAAAGTGCTATTTCGAAAATTTAAGAATTCTTTGAGAAAGATTGTCTATCTTTTTGTCTAATTTAATCATACAATATTGATTTATTTTGTCCATTCATTAACTGGTTTTCTGACGATCTTGAAGGTTATCTAAGACGCACATCTCGCTCTGGCGAGAAGTCAGTAGTGAACGAGCTAAAGTTCTCAATTCTTAGAATGAAATTCTTGAATTAAGTGATTGTTTTTGTATGTTTTCAAGGGCATTTGAGCATTTTGGAAACTAACATTCAATGACGAAAAGTAGAAAAAGCCTTTCTTTTGGCAGTTTATTAATACGCCAAGAGTAAGAACATTAAGACAAGATCAGTTCAAATGAGTGTTGGTAATATAGATTTCGCCAATTAGAAGCTTGCTTACAGATTTTTTCCCCATACTCTTGTGTTGTAACTTATACCACTTGCCAATACCAGCAAGCCTGCTTGAAACCAAGCGATTTTTTAAGATAGTGGGCGCCACCTATGGGAGAATACGACTTCAGCCACACACACGTCACAGCCCGCAATAGAGGGTGGATCAATTCATACATCCACAGATTAAAATTTTGACCTGAACCAGAGAACGATCAATCTCCTATTCAGTACCTCTAGAAACGTATTGATTTGTTATGGGAACTCGGAGAACTTTGTGACCCTGACGAATTTAACGTGCACCAGCCACTATTTCATACACGGGGATGTTTCAGCCGGATGGGTTCAAAATTTCGTTCTCACGAACAAGAGTCTATCGTTCTACCAACCAGGCAACCAAGGTCCATACATATTCTTGTAAGTTAATATCTTGGGTTTATTCACCATACATATATATTCAAAGAGCTAACTGAGTACAAAGCTCATAGCAAAAAGCCAATACAAACTAAGGCTGTTGGTATTAAGTCTAAAAATTATCAAGCTGATTAAAAAGACTACTTTTCCAGTTCAGCTGATACATTGCAAAGAGCCGGATTTTTCAATTAGTTTACGACATTTTACCTTTTCTTTCTTAGTGGCACGATATCCCTGATCTTCTCGATATTTTCCTTGCGTCTTTCCGTTTGGCCTCTATCCTCCAATTTTTAATTTTCAGAATGTGTATTTAATTTTTCATCTTCGCCATAAGCCGTTCACTTGATTACCACATAAATACGTTTTAGGATTTATATCTTGAAAATTGCCAACGCCTTCTCACCTTTCGAGGTTAATGCCCATGCCTCAAATGCATATAATAACATATCTTATAAGTATATTTTACTAAAGATAATTTAGTTTTTATTCTTAGTAAGCTTGACTTTAAATTTTTGAGACAGTAAAAATTTCTATTTGCATTTGTGATACATTCCTAAGCTAAGATAATTGCTGTATTTCATTCCTTTTCCTCAATAAGTGAAACTAAATACTGTATGAATAATTTTTTATTTCGCTCAATTAGATAATAAATAAGCGATTGATTTCACAAACGAGAGAGATTACTCAAGCGACTCAAATAATAATAATTATTAATTTTTTAATATTACTACGTTCCATTTTTATTAACTCGCTTTCTGCTCGAAGTGGTCGAATCTTGCAACAAAAATTTCGACCACTTTCCGCAAGCTAATGCATTCAGTTTTACTAGAACTTCATACCTGATGGCAATGTTTCCTGACCGCTACAAGCAGAATTTTTCATCACTTTTATTAATAAATAGAATTTGTCTTCAATCAAAATTCCAAACACTTTCCCTGCATTTAGAGTTATCCAATCCAACCAAACCTCTCTCAGTATTTCACCATAATAGGAAATGTTGATACTGACTAATTTTTAACAGTGACCACTTTTTAAAATTTACGGCCACTTTCTTAAAAATCGAACAATTTAAAAGATAAATGAAATTGTTGACATTAATTATGTCATTCTTTAGAAGCATTTATTAAAATATTGTTAACTTAACTACAAGATTCATTTCTAAAACAAAGAAACATTTTAATAAACAAGTTCGAAATTTTTTTAAAATATTCATCATAATTCCATATTCATTAAATAATAATAATAAAATGCTCATAGAGTGCATTTTCGACGAAAAAAGAGACGATCCAAAGACAATCTTTTAGTCACCAATTTTTATATTTAGTCGTGACCATTAATTTTGCCCGATATTATCGAATAAGGAAATTCGCCATAGATTAAATTTTCAACAACTGCTTGACTACATGGAGTGCTTATAATTTAACTTAAGTTCTGAGCTGGGTGGCATAGGTAACAAAAATAAAAGGTAACATAAAACAGAAAAAAAAATAAAGTGAGAAAAAAGCAGCAACAAAAAAAGTACTTAAAACTACGATAACTTTCGAACAAATTAGAATTACGAGAAATCTATTAACATAAACTGAATAGTTATAATATGAGTCTTAAAGCATTAAGATTACCATTAGAAAAACCAATGAAAAGTTCCAATAGATTTTGCAAAATTTTTTAAAAATAAAACAGTTTGACACTTTTTGACACATCATGTCAAAAACCCAACCCTGATTATAGTAGGTATTTTTTCCTACAAGTTTATCAGTAAATAATTCTCAAATTAATTACCGAATGTTAAACTTTTATTTCATTGTAATTCTTGTACATTTTTCAATACATCTTAGCAATTTCAACTTTTTAAATCTAGTAGTTTTTACCTAGAAAATCAAAATGTAACATTAAATTAAACACTCAAAACAGCGACTGCGGTCCTACGATTTTTTAACATAAATAATTAGAAGAGCTAACTTTAGCAATGATTTTAAGAAATATTATAAATATTTTTAAAAAAAAGAGAAAAAAAGTGGTATTTTTCTTCAAAAAAGAAAAATGTTTCCCTTCACATTATAAATATAAATAACAAACTGAAACTTTTCTTTTTTCAGAAAAAATGATGTAATTCATAAAAACTGCTTCACCGGAACAGAATTTGTAGATTGGCTGAATAAAGTCGGCTTGGCAAGTCATCGAACAGCAGCAGAAAATTATGGACAACGATTGTATCGAGGAGGAGTGCTTTCAAGCGTCGACGGTGCTGTGCAATTTCACGATAATAGCGGATATTTATATACTTTAGAGGAGTGCTGTCCAAAGTAAATTAGACTTTTCTTGTCACACATCATCAATAAATCATTTGTAAATATCTTTCTCACAATGTATCTCAAATGTTTAAGTCATAGTATTTGAGCTTAATGTATGTATTGTGGAGTTATTTCCACACAAAGTGTAGCTATTCTGTATGAAATAAAACTAATTAAAAATTTCTTTTTTCTTTTCTTAAATTTAAACCCATAATAAAGGTTGGCAATTTATATGAACAAAGCAGGAATAGTTGTTTGCATAAATTGTCGACCATAAAGTGTTATAATCTGCTTTCCAAACTTATACACCATATTCTGAGCTAAAATAAAATCTTGCAATAACATAAAACGTAACAAGTGATATTAGTTATCATATCCATGGAATACTGACAGATTTAACAAAATTAATTTGAACTGGACCAGGCACAAGATTGCATAAAAGAAAAAGGGAGAATTTATGTTAAATAAAAATATTAAAAGAATGCTTATTAATGAAAATTTTCTCACAATTTTATTATTCTTTAAAAATTATGAATAAAACGTGCTTTTTATTCATAATGATTTATAGCATAATGATTTAAAAAAATTAGAAACTATACTTATGGTCATGATTAAAATATAAATGTTTAGCAGCAAAATCTATACCTTCAACATAATTTAATAAAAATTTTGCCTTTTTTACTAGTTAAAAATTCATCCATAACCAGATAACGAAAGAAAATTAATTTAGTTAAACAAATAAGTTTTAATGAAAAAAAAATTAAACACGTTAGGAATCAAAAATAAATGTTTTATTGTAATTGGAGAATTATTTTTTTATTACATTTCAAGAATTATTATTATAAGCACATAAAGTGACATATTATAAACATGAAATACTATAAATAGGGAAAACTAACAACCCTTTTAAAAATCAAATATTCTAAGTGTGAAATATTAGGTACAGTATTAAATAAGGAGGCAGTGACCGTTAAATGAAAAATTGAGACAAGCTTGAAATGTAGTTACAGATATGATAAAAAAATTTGCCCACTTGGTAGCAGCTGCAATAATAACCAAGCAACTGTCTAATCCTTTCATTCTATTTCGTATGAAATATTATTCTATTTCTGAAAATTGTGTGTAATGGAACAGCTGATCTCAAAGAGTCACTGCTGGTGTTACTATTCTTATAATACTATTTGTAAACTTTAACAAATCACAGGGAAGTAATTAAATTAAAATATCTTGGTAAACTTTTTGCAACTAGTATAACAGTAAAATATAAATGTTCAAACAACTGTGGAGAAATACATTTCAGATTTATTAAATAAACTGTGTGAATAAGAATAACTTCTATTCCATTATTTATTGACTGTACCAAATATAAATGGTGCAGGTTCAAATCATTCCTCAGACATTAATAAAATATGGGGATTAATTTCATGCACAATGTTTGCAGCATCTTCAAAATCAATTAAGGTGGAACTAAACTGAAAAAATTCTAAGGAACTTAAAGAGGAGATTAAATTTCTAATTCCATTTTCAGTTAGGCTACATTCAAATAGAAGAGCCTCTACTAGTTTAGATAGGTTATTTTTTGCGAGTATTTTATTTAAAGTATGATCACAGAGATTTCTCGCACCATCAATTCTCAAATGTTTCAACTCAGTGCAACTTGAAAGGAGCATTATGAGAGTCTCCTTGTGGCAATAAAAATCAGGATCCAATAATTCAATGTACAGAGATGTGAGATACTGAAGACATACAGTAGGGCGCTCGTAACTTTGTATCTCGTTAAAAAACTCAACTTTAAGAATTTCAAGCTGGGTGCAATATTTAGCAATTACTGCCCAATCAACATAATAGAAATTTATTACATGAAGTTTTTTCAAATTTACACCAATCTTCTCAAGTAAAAGTTGGACACCGAGTTGAAAATTTCCTCCATTTGGTTCTTCCCACTGAACTAATAAAGAATTTAGGTTTTTAAAATCACTTAAAGCAAAAATTGCTTCATTATCATTTGCTAAAACATCAATTTCCTTCATTTCTGGGCATGTTAAAGTTGCAATATGCATTGCAACTGAGCTAACAGCACCATTATCGAAATATGGATTTCCCAAGTAACAACGCTGCAACTTATACTGAGTTGTAAGACTGCCATCGTATAGCTCCTCGATATGCAAAAACTCTAAAGGCCGGGATATGTCGGCTTTTATGTAAACTAACTCTTTGCAGTACTTAAGCACAGGAACAAGATCACAAAAAGGAACTGGATTTCTATAATCTTCAAAAACAGATAGAGACTTAAGTGAATGATTCGGTTCATAATAACCACAATTTAAAATAAACCTGCAAACTGGCTTTTCACTAACAAAATTTAAGTTCAAGAACTTCAATTTATCACATCGGTTAATTACTTCCACATTGAACCGAATGCACGATTCCAGAGACTCTATTTGAGGAGAAATTCCCAAAAGGCACTCAAGAGCATTTCCGGGTTTAAAAACTTTAGCATTAGCAGAATACGGATCAGTGCAATTTACATTTCTGAAAGTTAATGTCTTTAAATTCTGACAAGCAACTGAGAGAGACATCAATATCGAAATCAGCTCCTCGGTACTCAGCAGAATATCATCGAGCACAAGGCGCTCGAGACGCCCACTAGTGAGAAGACAGTACAAGTCAGTAACTTTCACACCATTGGGAGTTGAAATTTGTATAACAGTTGAAGTTATTTCATTAATGATTTCAGGTGGTAAAAAAGAGAATGGATTATCATCTTGACTGCCACTGGAAATACTCCAATAACCTTTCTTTATAAGTGTTGCAATTTTCCAAATACATGTGCGGTATAATGACATTGTTCAGAATCTAAAAAGAATTAACAGTATTTAAAGTATTTCATAATAGTTTATACATTAATTAACAAACACTTGAAGAGGTAGAAATAAAAAAATCAACGAATTCCAGTGAAAAAATAACGAAATTTCATATTTAAATTTACCAAATTCTGCCTACTTCTCCGAGGAAAAGTATTATGCCTTGAGATTCTTGCAACTTGAGATATCGATAACTTCTAATGGCAACATTGGTATTATTTTTATTTATAGATGACATTAATCAATAGATGATATATAGCAAAAGTTGGCAACCAAAGTAAGAATTTAGTACACAAAGAAATACTGTACAGTAAGACCCCGCTTAACGCTGTTCCTGTTTAGCGCTCTTTTATTTCAACCCGGGGATTCCCCCAAATATGTACATAACATATCCGAAACAGTGTAGTTGTGTTTCTTGTTTGGTGCGATGCTGTACAGACGCATTTTTATCATTTGAAACATTTGTTGACATCATTGTAAGTACATATAAATTTATATAATACTATAACGATTAATACAGTGACAAATATTATGATCTTTAGTTTTTATCATGGGTGATAATGAAAAACAAGAAAAGAAAGCAACCAGAAAAAGCTTTTCACTGAAAACTAAAATGCAAGTGGTTAGAAGATTAGATTCTGGTGAACGTCAATCTCAAATTAGTGCTGTATTGAATTTGGCAACTTCAACAATAAGGACAATTCTTAAGAATAAAGAAAAGATACTTTCATCGGCAACTGCAACTACGTCAAGCTCTGCAACTTTCATCGTCAAGCTCTGCAACTAGCAAAAAGAACTTTCGATGGCGTTTGTGAAAGGAGTTTGACCACTATAACTGAAATTATGGACCAATTTTTTGAAAATGATCCAAATTTTGACAGGAGTTCAAAAGCAAGACGGAGTGTTATAGATGTTTTATCCACTTATCAACAACTTCTAACAGAAGGCAAAAGGAAAACACAAACTACATTAGATGCCTTCTTGACAAAAAGGAAACACAAAATAGACTGAATGATCTGACTGACTTAGAATTTTATTTGTTTTTATAAGTATGTATATGCATTTATATTGTTTTCATTTTTGTAAGAAATAAATGTTTGGTTTTATTTTTATTAGAAAAAGCATAATTTTTAAATTTAATACCTAACCAATTTTCTATCCATCTTCCCCATACCCCATTATTTACAGGTTAAGATAGCCTCGTTTAGCACTGTTTCGCATTACGCTCTACTTTGACGGAACATATCCAATGCGTTAGACGGGGTCTTACTGTATTTCGTTCAAAATTTTACATTTTCAGACATCAATTTTTATCCTACTTTTTTTGTGCATTTGTAGTTAATCTCTGTATTATTTAACCTCATAGATCTTGATAAATAAATTTGTGCAATCCTGTGTAGGCACAGCAAGTAGCAATTTATTTAAAATACTGGTAGAGGGATGAGAAAAATAATAAAACTTCTACAAATACAGTAAAACCTCATTAAGTCGTCACCCTGATAAGTCGTCACTCCACTTAAGTCGTCATTTTCCTGTGGTCCCGACTAAGCCTCATAGACAATAATGTAAAATAACCCTCTTTTACCCGTCATCGAATTTAACTCTACTCCGGATAACTCGTCACCCCCAAAAAATGGCAAACCTATCTTTTTTCGCACTTTTGTATACTGTTATCTTTTTTCGTACTGTTATCTTTTCAAACCCGCCCCTTTCACTTTAAGTATCTGGGGGAATTTCTGACCACCCACAATGTTCGCTCTACAGCTGTGAGCATTCCTTTCCTTTTAGGGGATTCTTGGAATTTTGCATGCCAATCGTTCAAAGTTCTCACTTCTTGCTCCGACTCAGTCGAGTGTAGACGTTTTTCTTTATTGTACGTACTTCAGTGGGACTTCATTTCATAGTGAGTAAGCCCCACTATAAGGGCCATTTTATTTTCTTACAAAATTGTGATTTGATTACGTTTCAAAATGCCGGGAAAACGAAAACTTACCTCGTTATCTCTTAAAGAAAAAAAGGATTTAATTGCACTTTTTGAAAAGTCAAATGTTTCGAAAACAGCTTTTGCCAAAGAACACAATATTCCGAGAACTACCTTAAGTGATATTCTATCGTCAAAGCAAACCATTGAGGAAGCAGACTGCAAAGACGAGATCAAGGAGATTTTAGTTCGATGGTTAAAGCATGCAAGATCGCAAAATGTGCCTATTTCTTCTGTCATTCTTAAAGAAAAAGCGATGGAAATTACTAAGGTGTTGAACATAGAAGATTTCCATTGATGCAATGGTTGGCTTGAGCATTTCAAGGACAGAAATAGTCTTTCTTTTAAAACGATTTGTGGGGAAGCCGCAGCTGTTGATGGTGATGCTATAGAAAATTGGAGGAATAGTGTTCTCAAGGACATTTTATCCAGGTTTGATGCCTCGAATGTTTTTAATCTAGATGAAACGGGCTTATTTTATCGTCTTTTGCCTGATAAAACTCTATCGTTTAAGGGCGAAAAATGCATCACTGGAAAAGCCAGCAAGCAACGTCTAACACTTTTGCTGGGAGCGAATATGAATGGAAATGAAAAGCTTAAACCACTAGTGATAGGCAAGAGTAAAAGGCCACGCTGTTTTAAAAACGTTAAATCTCTGCCAGTTGAATATGAAGCAAATTCAAATGCATGGATGACTACAATGATTTGGGAACGGCATATCCGTAAATTGGATTCCCAGTTTTCGCGCCAAAAGAGAAAAGTTTCAATTATTGTCGATAATTGCACAGCCCATAGTCAGCCCGAAAGCTTAAAAGCTATTGAAATCGTTTTCCTTCCTCCAAATGTTACTGCACTTCTTCAGCCATTACATCAAGGGATAATTCGGGACTTCAAAAGAAAGTACAAAAAAATGCTAGTAAAAGACCTGATAAAAGCATTGGATTAAAATGAAAAGTTTGAAGTTTCCGTTTTAGACGCGATCAATTATGTGCATAGAAGTTGGAGCTCAGTTTCTACGCAAACTGTTTTTAATTGCTTCAGACACGCGGGATTTGTAGCCGATGCAGAATCCGAAGATATCCTCTGTGAAGAAGTCGACCCCGAGCTCTTAGAAAATTTGCTGCAAGTTGTTAATGAAAAAGGTTGCAGTGTCAATGACGTAAATGCATTTGTCGATATTGACAATGACATCACTATTTGTTCACAAGCGACTGTAAAAGATTTAACTTCAGAATTTTTAGATGAAAAACAACACAGTTCCAGCAAGGATAGTGAGAATTCGTGTGGAATTCCGCCCAGCAAGACTGAAACATTAGAAGCCTTAGAGAAAATTAGACGATATTTAACATCAATTGAAGGCACAACAGAGGAAGATTTCAAGGCGCTGATGATATTGGAAAAGAAGTTTAACAGCAATCAACAATTCCTGCATCAATCCACTATGTTAAGCTATTTTAATGATCAGAAATAAAAATAAAAAGTGGTAACTATACAAAAGTATTTGTATTCCTTTTCTATTACATTCTAAAAATCTAATTTTTCTCAACGAATCCTACTGCAGTCCATTAAAAAAGTTCATTTTTTTTTTTTTGTTTTTTTAAAGAAATTTCTAACTCCACTTAAGTCGTCGAAAATGTTCGGTCCCTTGAGTGACGACATAACGAGGTTTTACTGTATAACTGACAAATATCTAACATTACGCGGCTTACAATTTCTCGGACCAACAAGCAAAAAAATGCACTTGCAAAAAAGTTTTTATATCTGAATCGGTTGAGGAAACAGTTAATAAAGTACTTAGATCGCTAACAGTGAAACATATCTATAGTGAATGTTTCAAAGGAAGGAGGGTATAAAAAATAATTAGGATAATAATAATAAGCCAAACATAATCTTTAAGATTTTTCATTTAACAGATCAGGAACACAGAAACTGCCTGGATGAGCTTTAAGACTGAGAAATAGTTTATCTTTGTTATAATGTACAATAATAGTTTACAAGAGGAATAATTAATAAAACTAAAATTATATTTATAAATAAAAAACATAAGAACAACATATATAAGTACGTATAAAATAAATTCAGCATGTTTTGTTACATTAAAATTAACAACCATAACTTTTAAAAATATTGGAAGATTTCTTTCAGTAACCAAATAAATATTTATTTCCACACGGGAAAAAATTGAGATTTGTCTCCAAATGAACCATTTACCAAGGTCATAAAGGTTACTAAAAATAAGAGGTACTTAACAGTTATTTCAGAATTATAACAAAAAGGGGAGAATGAAAATTCATTGTTTATTAGCCTTTAAAGTGAAGGAAAATAACCGAAAAATTAGTATTGAGAAAAAAGGCACAGTTATCAATGTAATAACCAAAATAAATGATTTTTAAAATCATAATAACTTCTGTAGGATTTGACATAGAAACAAAACTGAAACAGTTTCAGAAACAGAAAGTTCATACTTTTACATTACAAATAAAACAAAAAAAAAGATAGTTTGGTCATAATTGGCTTAAAAAAGGTAGTTGGGTATAAATCTAATAGATCTACTTATAGTATCACAGTTCTCTTCTGGGTTAGGTCATTTCTTTCCAGACAATGAGCTAGAAGTGTAAAACAGAAAACTTTCACTTAGTGTAATTTCTTAAAAATTAATTTTATGAAATTTTTTTTTGCAAAATTTATTGGGTTGCTTGATTCTTTTAATTGTTTTTTTAACATCTTTTGGTTAAGGTTAGAAAGCTCCGCCACCTGCTTGCAAACCCGCAACAATTGCTACACAACCTAGTACTACTCTCTTTGAGAACTAGGATTGGATAGATAAACAAATTAACAAAATTGAATAATTAATCACAAATTTCTTTCATGAAAGTACTTTTAAGTTTTTCTACAATTTAGCCATTGCAAATGAGGAATCGTAAGAATGAATGACTTGTTAAAAATTTATTGTATAGGAAGGATTATTGAGCAAAAGTTCTTTCAACACTCCATTACTATCAAATATGGCAATCTCAAATATGCTGTGATGATAACAAGTGTTTTTCAAAGTCATGCCTAACGAGAATTGACAGTGGATCACAATTTAAACATACTTCAGTGAGTATTCCATTGATGAAGAAAATATGTCCTCTGATAAGGAATCTGAGATATTCATTTTTATGGTATATGCAAAATTTTTTTGACCAGCATTTTACCACCATAAATTCATTTCCTCATAATTATTTCTCTGCAAATTTATACAGCTTTGATATTTTAGCTCTAGGATGTAGATGATAGTGAAAATAGCATTTATACCGATAACTTTCCATGCCAATTTAAACAGAATTGCAAAATTATAATCCTTAGAATAAAAACAGTTAAAAATAAGTAATGAAAGTATTGAATTTTTATACTATAGAGAGGCATTTTTAAATATCGGCAATTAAAAATGTATTTTTATTATCTTAATCTTTTGCATTAAAATATGAACTTTTCTCTCCTTCTCTTTTTACAGATATTTTTAATATTTAATGTATTTTTGTGTACGTGCAAAATATTGTGTTCTTCTATTTATTTTATGTTAAAAGTGAGGTGATTTTGTTTCATTTTTTGTAATCTTTTCTGCTCAAATATTTTTCAATTATAACTAAATATTAGTAGTTAATTAATATAATTCTTATAACTATGTATTAGTATTATATTTGTCATTTCAATACACATGAAATAAAATTTGAATCAATGTGTAACCGTGTAAATGTGTATAATAAACGTATTTTCTCTTCTTTTTTTTTATTATCAGAAATTACTTTAAGTTTGAAATGTATACTTCGAATTCGAAATCCTATCTTTCAAGCAATTAATGACATTTTTTTATTTCTGTCCTAGTGATTTTTTTTGGTTCCAGTTTCTTGAAACTTTTTTTTTAATTTACTTTTTAAATTTAGTTAAAATAAATCTTACACAGCAGAATGACAAATCCCTACTAAGAACTGCATAGTGGTTTTCTTTTAAAATACTAATACCATGGATTAAGAACAATGCTGTTAAAGACAACAGGTAAAAACATGGAGATACACGAGTCCCTCAAGGTGAATGTCAAGAGGGAACCAAATAGCAACAACCATGGGTGCAAGTTGGAAAAAAGGCCAAGACTGAAAATTTTTTGACTGAAATACCTAACATACACAATACCCCCTTGACATATGCAAACTATCTAAGAAAGCTTTACCATAATACATCAAGATTAAATACTGTACAAAAAATATTTATTCATCTGTCTTTTGATAAAATAACAACAGGACATAAGAAAATAGACCAATAACGTAGACCTAAAAAATATTTTTATGGACAGAAAAAATTTTTTCCGATTTCCGTCTTCGAGTCAGTCTTGTTTCCGTCTTACTTCCGTCCGCGGACATTTTCGAAAGACGGAAATCCGTCCTGGGGACGGAAGACTTGCACCCATGGCAACAACTCATGTATTAGTTTGCTTATGTACCATTTTAGACAGCATCAAGAGTTTGTGAACGTTTTAATACTGCCGATTTGCACATTCTTTCTACATAAGTTCTGAATTTAAAGTTGCTGCATATATATTGAAATTTTATAATTGGCAAAATAATTGGTTTTAACCAATTATTTTAACAATTTAAACATGAGTTATGCAAATAATTGGTGAAAACCAATGATTTACATTTATTTAACTCTAGTAACATTTGAATAAATCTACTAGTTTAGCAATAGTAAGAAAATATAATTATATAGGTATTTTTATGTAAGACTTATAATACTTCATCAATCTGTTTATTAATTTATAAAAGCAATCTGAGAAAATCAATCAAACTGACTGCATCTGATTACAGAAAATCTTTAAGATTTTATTAGAGCATCCTTCTAAAGAATTACACTTGTACCCAAGTTCTAACATTTAAAACATTAATAAAAATAATAAAAAAACCGCTTTAAACAAAATAATACACGTTTTGGTAATATTTTTTTGTGAAAAAGCAGATTTTTTTAATTAAACAATAACACAAACAAAAGTATTAAAAAAATCAAGTCATAATCAGTGTTTTCACTACAGCGCGAGAAAGCGAGAATCTCGCATATTTTTTTCTGTTCTCACATTAAAAAATTATTACCGCGAGAAATTCGCGCATTCTATAAATTAATTTCAAAATTCGCGAATTTCTCGCATTTTGGAAAAGGCTTCGAATTACGCCATTTAGAATAAAATCTGCTTCACTTTTCTTCCTTGATATTTCATTATTTTCAACATCTGCCTCGTTATCTAGCTTCCCTATTTACCAGTATTGTTCAGAACCTTTTCCAACAACAGAACACAACCCCTTTCAGAACACATTTCTCTGCAACCACGTGCTTACCATAAGGTTTCTTCATGTAAGACGTTCAAATTTTTAATGCACTAATGTAAGATGGAAAAATACCTTGTAAAGGCAAAATCTTCTATGATGATGCAGCAAAAATATTCCATGCTTTAAAAAATAGAAGACGTTAAAAATGTGTTATAATTAAAAAAATGATTTTTTTTCCCAAGAGTTTTTGTGGTTTTTTTAATTTTTAGAAATCTCACTTAACTTTTTGAAATCTCACCCTGTTTCTGAGAAAGGGTGAGAAATTCTCACCCATTTTTTTTCTATGATGAAAACACTGCATAATACACAATTATTTATTTAAATTGAGCTTGCTTTATACTCAAAATTATAATTATTTACTTTCATTTAAGACAAAGAGTAGCTATATTCTGTTTTACATTATACACATTATAGAAAATTCATTTTAATGCATAAAAATGTAACTAAACATTTCAAGCCTTCAGTTGGTTTTAATGTCAGTTGAAATGTTAAAGATCATGGATTAAAAACTATAGATGAAAACTCATGGTACATACAGTAAATTTTAAAGTAGATCATTTAACAAGATTTTATAAACACTCGTTACCTGAAAATTTTTAGACAGCTTAGAGAAGTTTAATTTGCATCTCTTGGTTGAGGTTTATAACCTATCCTAGCATGAAGCATTGCTTGCTTGTCCATTAGAATCACCCCTTTAGATGTATCTGCTTCATTTTGTTTAGCCATCAAATCCTTTGAATCAGCTGAGTTTTTAATATGGTCAAACTCTTGAAGGTCTTCCACTTTCAGCTCTAACCTTGTTGGCTTACGTCGGAACATTTTAGGGCACCTGCAATTTTTTTAAGAAATACTTTACTTTCTTAAAATCAAACTTTCAACAATAAATGTTTAAAAAAGACAAAGAAACAATGTATTAAAAAACTATGAATTATAGACACTAATTTCTGAAAATATACTATGGAAATAAAACATAAATATTCTAGAATACAAAAATAAATCTTAAAAACTATAGCAGAGTCAAGATGTCACAGACAAATAGATAAATGAAATTATTCTAGAGCATAACACTAATAAAGAATTATTAAGATCAACGATTTATAATTTTTCAAATAAATTATCATGTTTATAAACAGTAATTCCACTAGATCTTTGAAACTACAATCATTAAAATCCAGTATTTCCCCTTTCTTATTATTATTAAGAAGAAAAAAAAAACGGGACTTTATTTTAAGTAATATAGATTTTAAAGACATAGGTAAAAATTACATCACTGAAAACTGAATACTATTTTATTATTTGCACTTGACACAATTTTTAAAATAAAGGAATACTATATGGCATTTTTAGTGTAGCTTTAGATTAACAATGAATAATTTGAAATAATTTATGATTAGGAAAAAAATGTGATTTGTAATTGATTTCGTAATGTTTCAACAACGAATTAAAACCACAATTTTTACATTAATTTTTCTAAAAAAAAATCAAAATTAGATGATCTATTTAATACATAATAAGAGAAAGATTTTCTTTTTGATATGGAATAATTAGTAAATACGTATTGTAAAATGACACTGTGCAAAAGGTAGGATAAAACAAACATATCACTGAAAACTAAACCATATGTACATAACTTTTATTTGCCCATAAAAGAATTTTAAAAATGCATATAACAGTAGGCAACTTAACATTAACAACAAATAATTTGAAATGATCTTCTTCCCAAAAAGTAATATAATCAGGAATAAGATTGTTTTTAATAAGTTTGAGTTTCTTTTTAATTTCTGTAAAAAAAAAAAATTCCTCGTAAGTACGGAACGAAAATTATAAACTTGATAGTAGCAGTTGTTTCCTTTGTTTAATTCTGGGTAAACCTATTTATTAGAACTAAAGGAGAGAAATATGTCTTTCTTTTATTGACTGGATATATTTGACTCCTTATTTTTCAGTGACAACAGCCTTTTAAATCCTTATAATTGCTTTAAATTTGTTTTCACATTCTGTTCTATGAATTAATACTTATCTTTTTCATTCCCTCTCTCTCTCTCTTTCCACCCCTTAACAACAGAAACTTCTATTGATTTACAACAAAATGAGAAAAAAAGATAATTCCAAACACATTTAAAATAGAGAAAAACTATTCAGACAGTAAAATGTATTACTTAAAACAAATATTATGTAGGAAATAGCTTGAAATCTAAAATTATTTTTAAAATTTCAAAAATAAAGAAATAAAAACAAATTTTTTAAAAACCCACTTAAACACTGATAAATTAAAAATCTAAAGTTATAATTGACATTTTAGGTTTTCAAAAATTATGAAATGCTACATGTAATAAAATAAAAGTGCACTTTGAACAATGTTTAAAAAAAATAAATAAATAATAGTTGAAAAAAAAATTTCAAAGATAAATTATCTGTGAAATATTGGGAGGTCAATAAATTTTTTAATTATTAGGATTGATCAAATATCAGTATATTAAGATATAGGACAGGAAGTAAATTGATGCTCAGAATTATTCTCATTCTTTCATTTGTTATAAATCCAGAAAGAAAAAAGAAATTTAGAACCATTTTTCATTCATTTATTTTATTTTTCTAAGCTTGGTTTTAATTTTTGATGTCTTCTTAAATCAGTTAGTGCACTATATATTTTTGTGTGAAGTAAAATTTCTGGTGGATGTGTTACTTTTTTGTGTGTGTTCCTTCTGCAATTTTTGCCATAGTTAACTTATTAGTAGCTGAGATACATATTTAGTCTGTAAAAATGCTATGTATTATAAAGTATCAAATAATAAAAAATATAATTTAAGCTACAATGTAAAAAATTGACTAAGATTTTATGATAAAATGAAAAAGTAATTTCTGCTTAAGTTAATGTATTTCTATTTTTCTAGTAATAATATAATAAAATAAGTTTTGTACTTATAATTCATTTAAATTTAATAATTATGCAGAGAAAGAAAGAAGTAATGCATTACAAATTTAATTTTAAAGTAATATTTAAAGATCAACTTATACAATTCAGTGATAAACTTAATTGTGGTTTTGCAAGTGGAATTATCAAGAATTGTGCATAGCTCACATATATCACACATTTATTTTCCAATGGTCGAAACATGCAATGCAGATGAAATTTATAATTTGTCGCTATACAATAATCAAAAGAGTATTGTAATAAATAAGCAAAACAAATTTTGAATTCACAACAATAAAGCTGAATGCATTTTTATAAGAGAAGATAAAAGGTCAAGTGCTGTTATTTCACAAATCTTAATTAATTTAAAATTTCAGGATATTTTTCCATACTGCTGTGCCAAATCTATTCCAAACTTGCAAATTTAGAAAACACTTAACAAAAGAAAACACTTAGCTTATTTTGAAAACAACACAGTGAAAATAAAATTATTTCCTCTATGTCCAGAAATTTACATTAAATTTCTTAATGCTGAAAATGTATCATAAACTTTAAAAATTAACGAGGCGATCATGATGTGAGTATTGAAATACATAACAATATTGAGAATAAGTTAATAAAAATCAAATAACGGCTATAAATAGTTAAAAGAACACACTAAAGGTGAAACATCCCAGACAGAAAAAAAAAATAAGGACAATTAGTTATAATTAGAACATTTCTACAAAGTTAAGAAAATTCCAACTGATTTCGAAAAATTTAAAACATCTATAAAGACGAAACAAATGAAATACTATTAATAAATACTTTTTTAAAAAACAAATTACAATTTATGTAGAAATTTGACAAAACATGAACTGTCAGTCTGAAAAAAACGAACTTTACTTCCCCCTGCTTCCTCCACAGAAAACGTAAACATCAAGTTCTTTAAAAGACAAATATTTGCTTATAGCTCTTCAGTCAGAGAACATTTACACTGCTTACGAAAGTTTCATGTTGGCAAATTCGGAGATGCGAGCAGAAGCATGATTGGTTAAATACATTTGTTGGAGAAAGGCTCGCCAATCAGGTTCTCGTTTGCTTGCCGGAAATCACATATGAACTTTTTTTTCCATGCAGTGTGAAGGCATCGTAAAAGTGACTAAACAGTTCTGTGGTAGTGAAAATGAACCCAGAAAGAAAATTGGTTGGGCAGTTTCTGCCTTTGTTCTAATTTTTTCCATGACCAAGAACGAAGCTCAATGACATTAATATTTACTTCATTTTCTATTTGATTGTCTCAGGTGAAGATCACGCTTATTTCGTTGATAATCATTTAAATGACTTAGTCATTTCGAGAACAGACTATGTCGTCGAAAGGCCATTTCATGAACAGGTCGTTTAGTCTAAAAATCCTCTCGTCTGCAGGATAATTTCTTCGATATGTCATTTCATCAACGGTGGTCATTTCTTCGAAACGGTCAATTTGTCGACAGAATCATTTTTTCGACATGAATTTAAACTTAATTTTAGGTTTTGCTACAAAATTGTCGATTTCGGCAAAATGTCATTGTCGATGAAAAGACCCTTTTAATGAAATGACCTTATTGGCGAAATGACCCTGTCTACGAAAGGACCTTGTCAATGAAACGATCCTGTTGACAAAAAGACCCTGCCAGCAAAATTACCCTCTCAACGAAATGGCCTGTCGATAAAATGATGTAGCAGATGAAATGATCTGTCAATGAAGTAGCATTGATGAAGCGATTGAAAGTGACATGAACTATCCTGATATCAGATTTGATCTGGTATTGTGTAAATATGTCGCTAATGTGTCGGAACAAATTAGTGCTACCGATAATCTTTCGTGGTGAAACTAGTCACTCAGATTAGATTTTATTTGCTATAGTCACGATATAAGGGGTCCGAATATTTAGACACACGTGTGAATGTTCAGAAACTACATGTATGAAGAACAGCTCTCGTATGGTTGAATCGCATTGATGTATGTATCATTGCGTATGTGATTCGCAGGCAGTGATAATGCTGCATTACATTCTGAAATGTGTTTTTAAAAAAAATAATATATAGACCCAACCACACAAGCGTCAAAATTAAAAAAAAAAGAATGCAAGAAAAAAATATGATTTTTCTTAGAAAATATTGACATTTATTAAATATTTGTAGAAAAAAAAGGGAAAAAATTGTTTTTGCTAGAAGTAGAAAATATTATTTTAAAAACCATACAATTAATATAAGTTTTCTATCGCCTTATCGACCGAATGTTAAAACTCAGTTTAAAGAATGGAAAATTTTTTCAACATTGGTAGCATGTAAATTCAGGGATTGATTAATAGGATTACATGTGGATTGCACCTAACAGGCTCTTACATTACGTATAAAAATAATTACAATATCTTTTGCTTAACTACAAGTTTGGGCTTTAACTTGTAACGGATTTCAAAAGTTTTGTTTTAAGTTTTTTAAAGTTCTTTTTTCTCTTTTAAAAATAAAATTTCTTTAAAATTTGTAAATAGGTCTAGAATGCATAGATTTTTTATTGAGGTGACGATACAATAAAGTTACTTATTTTTCCCCATTTAAAACTGGTTGAAAATTTGCGTTTAGGTAAAATCCATTATAGAAACATTTAAATGTTTAACATCTTAGAGAACAACATTCATTTTCGATTTTTTCTGGTTATACTTCGAAAGTGTCGAGACCAATTAGTCATTTGATTATTACGTATTTATTTAATGATTTTTGAAAAACTAATGAGCCTCACTCCATCTTCGCTGTCGCTCGTCAACCCTAGAACAGCTTACTCATATTATTTCAGATTCCTTCACACACACTTTTCAGTCTATTCTTGCGTAATACCCCAACTTTAATACCTTAATATTTTTTATACTTAAAATCAAGCTATATAAGATTTAAATTGCAAAACTGATTTACATTGATTTTTCTAACATTGGAAATGAATTATATTAATAAAAAGAAATTATTTGTAAAATAAACAAAGCAAGAATTACTGTTCATTTTAAACATAGGCGTATGTGCCTGTAAAAGAGCATACATATCATACTTTATATGGTTATAGTTTCAGTTAAACAAAATTAGGTAATGCACGAAAGAGAATAAAAATTTTCAATTTGAAAATAAATAACTGAAAAACTAATTTTTTATTGTGAATTAAATAATCCTAAAAAAACTGAAACTTAAAATTAGCCTGTTTAAGGAAGTATTTCGATAGTTTCCAATGTTATTAAGGAGCAAAATTTCAACATGTACCAAGCACTCAAACAAAGGCGCCCATTATCAAAACAAGAATAAGAAAAAATTAATGTGAATGAGAAAAACGAAATAAACAAGAAAAAATTACAACCTTGCCAACGTAAGGCATAATGGAACTACAGTAAACCGCTGTAGCCAAGAGAAAATGAAAGTGCATGAAAGCAGCAAATCAGGGCAGATTGCCTTTCCAAGCAGTATGGAGAATAGTATGAAACTTGTGTCTTTAACTAGGAAATTGGATTACCTATGAATGAAGATTCTGCTTTTTTTCCCCCCCACATAAATCCATTCGCTCCGCTGTCAAACTGAAACCGGATGTATCAGGGGTGAACATAATTAAAACCAACCTCCATGAGTCCATTTTCTTAACTCATTAAAATTATATTAACCTTCAATAAAGGGGAGTGATGTCATCAATTATAACTCCTATTTTCCCCTTTTTTTCTGGAAAAAAAAGGGATTATCTACTCTATCGGAAACTTGGATTATTTTCGATTAAAATTATATCTTTTTTATATATTATCTTAATATTTCTAGGAGGTACGAAGATTGAAACAATGTAAATAGTAAAATTTGCAAAAACCTAAAAATTTGATAAGAAAATTTTGTTTTAATAAAAATTATTGTGATTATCACCTGAATAAGAAAATAAAAAATTATACATATTAATTTGGATAATAAAGTGTTTTATGTAATTGAAGAAAATCTTATTTTTTATAATGCCATGATTAGAATATTGTGTACTTTTATTTTAACAAACAGGTGTGATAATAATAAAATAAAAATAAAATAAAAAGCATTATCTTAATAGTCCGTTGTGGGTCGAAGAGAGTAATAGGCTCCACAATTTCATGACCTACGGTATGATAGGCCCATATGGTCAGCATTGTGAAGCCAGTTCTCCTTCCAAACAAGCTGGCACCCATACATCTGAAGCTAGGTGGAAATCAAGTAACAACTGAGAATTGAAAACTATAAAATATCTTTCGTCAGTTAATAATTTTTATTCTAATCGTACACCTGTATAGCATCATCTCAATGATTTTTTTGTAACCCTTTTGCGCACTCTTATATCTTTAAGAATCAAACCGTCTATAAAAAAACTTTTTATTAATGATTTAAATTTTTTAGAAAAAATAATTCATAGATTCTGATAAAATTCTGAGGGGATTCTCTAAACATTATTCATAAATCTTTTCGATACGCTGGTTTGTTGGTTAGTTTTATCATCATTTTAAGGATTAAAAAAGTCATCAGAAAATATTGGAGCTTTTTTTTTTCTTTTTTTTTTAAAAAAAAAATTTACTTTAGAATAAGCTATTACCTACTGTAATATGTAGGCGCACCATTTCTCTTAGAATTTAATAATGATATTATATTCCTGCAGTGATATTTGTTCATGCAATGATATATTCATGCTGTTTATTTAGTCAAAATATCAGTTCCGATTGATTTAAATATTTAACAAAAGAAATTTTTCTTGTTTTTTTATGATACATGAACACGCTATTCGTAAGTTCTTGCGATGACTTATGTAAAATATGGCATAAATATTGGATTGCATTTGCAGACAGAAGAATTTTAATACTTGAGCACTTTATCATTTGTTTATTTAATATATCTCAAAACTGTTTCTGAGTAACTAAGGAAAGGATTGCAATTTAAAATATCCAATTCAATTACAATTTAATATGAGTTAAAGCATGCGTTAATTCTGTCAGTTTTTTATTAAAATTTGATTACAAATTATCTAACAACAATTATTGTGTGATTATTTCTTCATGTTATTATTTGAGTTCGCGTTATTTGTATAGATATATTTTTCAAATTTAATCTTTAACACCATAAATCTATATCAAAGGATAAAAAGTTCTGTGTAAGATTTTCAAAAGTATTGGACATAGGTAAGTAGTATTTGAATAATGCTCAGAACCTCTGCAAATGATCCTAAGATGGCTTTTTTTTCTCTCTAGGATAACTTTCATTTTTGACACTGGCACACGATTCGTACTTGATTACGCGTGGAAGTGTAGCTTAAAAATGCAACACTTTAGGTTTCAAGTAACAATAAATAATTGCCTTATGTGTAAAAGTATAAAACCTGACTATTTATAAGGCTGTGAGTGAAGAAAGTTTTGAATAATATTTTGAAGGATTATTTTTTACTAGTTGAGTACCATCTCTTCATATGAATTAAAAAAAAAAAGAAAAAGACGCAAATAATCAGTATTAATTAACGCTTCGAAATTATGCTCAAAATTATAAATCATATGCCGACGCAATTAATAAATCCAAATTATGTCAAATTTTGCTAATTTTTTAAAAACTGTTGCTTTTCTTGGTAACTTTAGGATATATTAGATTTTATTTTAATTTTATATTCGTCGTTGAACAGCCGACCCAATTTTAGGTTTACAACTACTAATGCTCAACTCCGTAGCCTTGTAATTTTGACCCAATCCAGAAGACAAGGAAACTCCTGGATCAGTACCCCCAGAGATATTGATGATTTGTTATGGGAACATGGATGACTCTGCGACTCGACAGATTTAACGTGCATCAGTTCACTATTTACTACACGGGTAGAATATAAGATAGATCAAAACACTTTTTGTAGAAGTTCAACACATCAAAATGAAGATTAACTCTACTATATCATTCGGCTTGATGATACACGATAGTCA